TCGCTTTCATGACAACATAACCGCCCTGACATTACTGCGCCAAGGATTACAATCGCAGCAGTATAGCACCTTGGTTGAGGCAAAGGCACGTTGTCAATCATGAATAGTCTAATACATCACAAATCCTTCATCCGCCACAACCCGTGCCTGGACCGTCCTCGCATCAATCCGTCACACCTCACACCACACACATCGCCGCCAGAATACGCAACTTAGCCGGACCGAGGTACTTCTTCGCGTTCTCCAGAGCCTCTCGTCTCACTCTGACATACGTGTGAATCGTGCTATCCTCTCTCGGGTTCCGCAGACACCAACTCCTCACAGCAGTGCAACCGCGGATTGGGAAAGACAACAGTAAAAAGCGGGTGATAGCAAGAGTGTGATACTTGTCGCCGGATTATTCCGAGAATGCAGCAGCTCGCGTTGACGACGGGCACCCTGTGGGGAGCCACTGCGAATGCGGCCGGAATTCGCGCTCATGAAGACGTCCCATCAGTCACTACCAGCCCTGCTGTCCGCGCGCTTCAAACCGCGGTAAGGGGTCAAAAGTTTGTACAAGTATTCATTTGCTGTCTCGCGTCAGGGGGTGGTGCTGCTGTTTCGGTGTTTCTGATTCTCTCCGGAGTGGGCTCATGAGAGAACAGTGCCACCCGGGATTTGCAAGAAAAAAAACAAAACAGGCAGAAGGACGACCAGCTCACAACTAGCTCAGCTGCCAGTTGTGGCGCTTCCGAGAAGCGTATCGAAAGTTTTACAGCTTAAACTGCTGCTTTAACCTTGGTGTTTTGAAGGCTCAGTGAACCAAGAAGAAACATTACATATCTGCGACTCTACAGTCTTTCTATCTTTGAATCGAGGGAGGCTATTGCGGTCACCCAAGGAGTAAAGACTTGGTGCGTGCGTGTGTGTGCGGCCTGTTGCGTATGCTTGCGCTCACTCCCTTGTAAGTTTTACACCGTGGCAATGCGATGCGAGGCCCACAACGGTGGTCCTCGCCACCATTGTTTTATGTGATGGTCGTGTCTGCTGTTGTACAGTTAACCCGAGCGCCGAACCTAAGACGATTCCGAAGGACAAGAAGTCACAATATCCAGGCGATTCTCCAACATTCAAACGCGTTGATAAGCAACCGAAATCAAATGATTGGACTACGTAGACCATCATCGATTTTCGTTTGAAAAAGTAAGCCGTGGGTCCGAATGGACCCGACAATTCTCCTTCCCGAGGAGAATCACTCCCCTCGCCAGATCTACCGCTATCTGATGTCTATTTCAGCATATGTCTTCTTGCATGTCCTATTTCGGCATGAATCCTTCTCAACTGCTAACCCACATTCAGAACGTCCGGTGTCTCAGACGTCGAGCTTCGCGGTCAACGTTGCTCTAGCGAAGAGTGTTCAGGACCATCGGGAGAAAACTACCTCGATTGTTCAACCTAGTATTCAAACCAACGCCGAAATCGAGCCGATATTTAACAACCAATAGGTCGTTCGGTGGCCAAAGGACTTGATTTCGTTGTCCTCAAGCCGGAAAGCGTAGTATGTTGGCATACACCACTCTTGACAGACACGACACACAAGCCGAGGATTGGCTAGAAGCATGAGAGTTCCTCGACTGAGGCATAAGTTCTGCGTTTAAAGCGAGTACAAGTTGAGCTCAAAGTGAGGGCTGCGGCAGATTCTTCGCCAAATATGGCGTGTTCCCGCTTACTCATTCTCTCTACACAAAAACTTCCTCAAACATCCCTGTCGCGCGAGAGTTTGGGACGATGCATCTCAACATGGCACGCCTTCCCACGCCATTCACACGACCCAGCTTTTGAGACGCATGGAACGGCAGCATGTCATTGAGAAAGGCTGGCCGGTCGCGGGCGAACACATGTTGCTGTAATTTTCATTTCATCAAGCATCGCCGTTTGAAAGTGTCTGGTAATTTGCGACCGTCGCCGGCGAACGTTTCTCAGACAAGACGTGCATGTGAGTACGTAGGTGCAGCGATGCAGCGCTATTTTTTTTTTGTGTGTTTTCTTTTGTATCTGGTTTGCGGGCAGCGATACGCCAGCCTACGCACGGCCGTTCGAAGCACTCCCTTATACCCCTTGGTGGACCCTGGCAAACGGCCGCCTTCACAGCCAACGCTTTTGGACAATATCTGAAGAATCCTACGTGACATGTCTTCTGCCCGGCCGTCAACTCCGACGACAAAAGAATGTCCTCTTGTCCATTGATTTTGGCTCCCCTCGCGCGAGCGAAGGCAATACTGTGTTTTGACGGCTGATCACATTTTTCACACCAGTTGTCCCTCGGCTTGTCCGTTGGAAAGCAAAGAAGATAAACATATACTGGTTTCGATGACGGTAGACATATTGACACCAAACCCCCAGTGTCGTCTTCTTTCCCGTTGTAGGTCGAGGGTCTGAATGAATTATCTCTACCCTGGCATCATAAATCTTCTCTCCTTTATTGTCCCGTCTAAACTGGTCTGGCAGTATCTACGGTGAGAGCAACAGTTTTCCCCAGAAGGGTTCAGCAACACTTGGTTTCTAGTTTCGCATATCTTACGAACAAGCGCTCTCTCCAGGATTATATTTGAACACTGATTTGTCTGGGCTTAATAACCTCGTAATGAGTCAGCGCACGTGTCCACTGGCCACACCCGCCGTAGAAATAATATAAAATGTTCAATCTTGAGTATTCTTAGTTCTTAATTCTTGGCTTGCAGTTTTTCCTGGCAAGTGGTCCTACCCGCCGTCGTGTCAAGGTTCTCTAGGTATGTGTCTGGTGTGTATCCATCCTTGTGCCCCCACGTACGTTCATCCGTGTACGCGAAAAAAAGTCCCTGTCGATCGCCGTCTACAACAACACTCATGTTTGTCTTGCAGGGGCTGGTGACGATTGATCTGGGATGCTACTTGGACAACAAGAAGAGCCGTGTATTCGACCAGGGGCTGATGGACCAAACCGACCTGACGCCGGATGTAAGTGCACATGCCGGTCGAGGTTCATGAGCAATGGGCCCGTTAGCCGAGGATTGTCGTTTTTCGTGTCACAAGCAACACCCACCATGTACCCAAGGATAACTTCCTATTGAGTGTCTTCACAGGATACGTTGTTAGTCATCAAGAGTGGGCATCGTTTTCTTAACATGTTCACAACAACAACCAAATAACCATTTTTTTTCTGCAATAATGCAGAGGTTCCCTTAAATTGCACGTATCCGCCGTATCCGCCCGATACCATGGCCATGGCGGTATCTTAATAGACACGTGTCCCGATAAGTCTGTGGCCACTACTGGCGTCTACCACATGTACGTCACGTTCTTGTGCAACCTGGCGATAGGTTGTGGGTAAACGTTTCGCAAGAACCCACAGGACTCGACCCCCCCACGGTGCGAGTTGGCAGGTTTTCGTTGCTTCAGGCAGGTCGTGTCCACGCTTCAATGTTTAATGTACATTGTGCTCCGAAATGAAACATGCCCTCGTTGTATGGTATTGCTGTACCGTAAGCAGGGTTGGGTTCTAACACTCATCCTTGGCAACAGCAGACGGAGTGGACGCACTTTACGAGGCAGAAGTTGTGCGGCAGGAGCCTTGCCGATACCTCTTCCCCCAATAAAACCAAACACTACAACAACCAACAACATTGCTACAAATGAACACCCATTAGCTTCTTGTATCTTTCTTCCCCCTACTCGCTCTGCTGTTTTTTCGTTCCCTTGTCAGACGTGCGCCCTCCACTGTTTCAGTGAAGGCTACCAGTACTGCGGCCTCCAGTATGGGAAGGAGTGAGTCGTTGATGTCGCACCACCTCCACATGAATAACGCTGTCCTGATGAGACTCGCTTCGCCTGTATGAAGACTGTCGGGCTTCGGCGGCGAAAGACGAGAAGGAGACGATGTATGCGTAGACCAGTACAGATAGATATAGTTGTTGGGATGATAGATTGATACAGTTGCTGGGATTACAACAGTCAACGTCCGAAGGAGGGAAACGCGCCTGTTCGGCACCCGTTGCTGAAGTAGCGAAAGTCGGCAACTAAATCGCAGACTGCTTTCTGGTGATGACGCTCATTCTGGATGCCATAACACTAACGAGCATGAGCCACGGGATACCACGGGCAGTTAAAGCCACGTCGTTGAGAAGGACAACCAACAACTCACTTTGGCGCATGGCCTAGCATTCAGAGGCTGCGCGCTTCCTAATACTACCGGCCCAACCTTGACCACACATCGCCACTCCCGGTCACCCCTCCACCTTGACGCACAACCTCCGTGACGGGATACGACGAGGACCGAAATTCGATCCGGCGAATGGTAAGATGACCTGAACTCTGCACGTGCTGTACGCTGAGTTCTACACCCCCCCCCTCCATGTCCCAATCCCCCCCCCGTGTCGATATTCGTTGATCATTTTCAGATGTTGGTGCGGAGAGGCGGGCACGGACTACGACAGGCATGGCGCGCTCGACATGTCCGAGTGCGACTACCCGTGCACCGGCGACGCGAGCTTGTCGTGCGGGGGGTACGTAGAATTCCACGCCTATGAGCTGGTGTCCCAGAATCAGCCTACCCCGGCCCCATCTACCATCGTTGATAAGCCCACGGCGTACCTTGGCTGCTACACGGATGCCAGGTCCAGGCTATTCTCGACCACATACAGCACCAGCACCAGCAACAACAGTGCGGAGGCAAGTTTCTGCCTGTGTGGGAGCTGGGCGGAGTTGCACCCCTGTCTTCGTACACGAACTGTGTTTTCCAAGAAGCAGTTATTTTCTTGTTGCTGCATCGCTCCAACCACGTTCCATGTTCTTTGCGTTTTTGTCGTCTCGGTGCTGACCAAGTCTGGCCTCGACGCCCTCCCAATGCCACTTTGCATCACCACGTCTCTTTGTGTTCGTTTTCCGGGCAGTCTTGACCGGTCACGTCGTTGGCCGCTTTCCCTCTTTCTTACGAGAGGATCGGTGATTCGTCTGACAACTATATTTTTCTTCCATTCCGTGCTATGATCGCGCAGACCTGCAAGGCCACCTGCGTCGGTTACGCGTACTTTGGGCTACAGTATGGCAAACAGTGAGTGGGAGACGTTTCGTGAATCGGATTGCTAGGGTGCAACCGCTGTTCTGTTTGTGTTCTTTTACAAGTAGGATTCTCCATTTCGTGTCAATAGTTCGAAGTGTTCGTAGACGATAGGAGACATGAAGAGGCTGTTGGGGTTTGTGTAGCAGCAGTAGGGCAAATTTCAGGGCGGTGGAAAAAAATATTTCTGGCTGAATTTATTACTTGATTCTGCAGCAAAGACGCCCGTGTCCCTCCGTTCCCCTCTTCTGAAACTACCATTTTCATTCTGTTTTGGCTCCCTTGGGATTCATGGACGTTGGTAGGTGCTTCTGTGGCACTGCGGACGAGGATTACACCGTTTACGGCGAGTCCGACGATTGCACCTACTCCTGCACCGGAGACTCTGAGTCCACTTGCGGTGGCCGCTGGGCCATGGATATTTTCGCCATGGACGGTAAGGATATGGACGAAAGTGGGCGCAGCCCCAATTTCGACTTCGAAGTCGCTTACTTTGTAGAATCCTATGCTGTTGTGGATGTTGTTGGGTGATGGTTGTGTTAGAGGCAATCTCGTTTGGCGATGATCTGATTCTGTTCCCTATTCCCTTCCCTTGCCTCGCCTTTGGTCTACTGCGTGGTCAACGATGACAACAGATGACGTGACGCCTGTCGAAGCGGACGTGCTTGTCGACCTGGTGCCTTGCCTGTTCTCCTCCGTGGCGGTATGCACGATATGATCACCGCGTACAGTCATATATTGTTTCATGTGTGTGGATGCTCCTGGGTTGCTGCACATGATCGTGTGATTTCAACATTTTGCTCTGTATGTGTGTAAAGTGTGGCAGCGGAGGGCACAACAGCTGGAGGAATCCTGTACAGTACGAGGTCGGAATCACGAAAATTATACCATGGAAGCCCTGAGCCTCTTCCGTTCTTTTCAGCTTTCCTCTCTTTTACGAACAACACCAACCTGGTTTACCCCCTACGCAGTCACATTTTGTCCCAACTGATACGCAAGTATGCATCAACGGCATCCAACGTACCAATAATACCGGTTCATTTCTCGTTGTTGATGGTAACAACCCAGGTTGGGGAGTCGAACGAGAACAACCCGGCATTGTACATCATGTCGCTGTTCTTCAAGGGATACTGGTCTCCCAAGACGGTGAGTTCTTGTTTACCTTTTCAATAGGTTTCGAGATTCCGCACTCGAAAGACGGGTCTTCCATAGTGGTGTCTCAAAAGCCGCTGTGCGGATGAATTGCGACATCCCGGGGAATTAGCGCCCAGATTTCTCTCGAGGGCATGTGGCCAGCATTGTGCGGGTGAACTAACTCTCTTGGCACAGATTTGTAGAATATTGTTTGTCTGTTACACTTCGAGTACGGAGGGTGTGCCCGCCCTTATGGCGGATGATTCGGCTCGGCACAATATTCACCCACCCTCAACAGGGGCAACGAAAGAAGTAGCAATTAGATTCAATGTCAGAGTGTTAATGGCGGGCGTCAGGGTGGACAGGTCTAAACGATCAAACGCGCAGCCCTTCTGGCGACCTTCAAAGAACAAGGAAAGACACGCTTGACCGTCTATTACCGAGTTCGCACTGTAGCTCATTCCACTACTTGGTTCATGAAACTATTTTAGATGCTGTCCAAATCAACGGACGTTTCGACAAGGTGCGATTTGTTCCGTAGCAGTTCAGCGCAATTGCACGAGATGACAGTCGTGCCGAGCGGACAGTTTTCTAGAGGCCGTCGACTATCGTTCACCAATGCCATGCGGCGTCACACCTTGGCGTTGGTCCACCAGTTCGGCCTCGTCGAACTTGCTCCTTTCGTGGCTGACCGATACAATCGCGTGTAGCATCCGACCCTACCTTCAAATGATCGAAACTATTCAGCCTAACCCTACCCGCCCTACACCTACCCCACCTCGGCGCGACACACGCGTTCGTTATTGCGGCTGCTGCTGTTGTTGCTTCTGCTTCAGGAGGAGCACGTCGTGAAGGAAGGCGACGACCTGACGGCCCTTCTGGTGGACTCTAGCGACACCTCCGAGGTGCCCCACGGCAAGTGCAATGCCGTTTACGTGGGTTATGCGCCGTCCACGGATCAGGCTGCCGCCCTCACCGCCTACTCGGCGCAGTTCAAGGTACATACATTGCCCGCGAGTATCAACCTTCAAGGCTCACCCCGTAATCTCTTTGGCACGGTTTAATTGATGAATGCATATAGGTCGTTTTCGATATTTGTTGAGAATGCCATCAATTGATATATATACTAACGTTCGAAATTTCTGACTGAGTCATTCTGATATTGGCTACTTTACTTCGACAGCTTAGCGTTTGGAAGTATATCATCGACGGTCTCATGCGCCCTGTGGAGTATCCAGTATCCAGTTTAGCCACCAATAGCAGTGTCCAGGGGGAAATTTACAGTCGTAGTGCCCCACTGACGGTAACCGTATTGTTTCGCACAGGGCGTCCTGTGGTTGATGCCGTGTTTCGTGCGTGCTTGACTCTGATATAGAAATTCGAACGTCAGCTTTTGATAGAACCCTTCGTGTGCTGGCATATGTGCATGCTAATCCCGGGCTGCAACTGGTCCTTCACCTTGTCGTTGCCGTTGCGTGCGATCTCTCTTGAAATTCTCTGTCGCTCGCTCTCTTGCATCTTTGTGCAGGTCCGTCTTGTGTACTTCCCGTCCGCTCTCACCCACACCACCGCCGAGTTTACGACGAAGCTCGGGGTCCAGACGTACTTCGCCGGGGACATCACGACTCCTGCGTTCGTGCAGCTCAGCGGTTAGTTTCACCTCTTACCCAATCCGTTTTTGTTAGCGGATGGGCAGCAACAAGAGCAATTTTGTATATCAGTGGGGGCGAAGCAGCGCAGTCCATGACGTTAGTTACATTTATCAATTTTCAACTTTTGGTGTGCCAGTCTCATCCCAGCGCTCCCAGCCTACCGCCGGCTGCCGCGGGCCTTGGCCTCGGTCGTCGTCTTCGTATTTGTTGGCAGTTTGGCGTCATCCAGCCTTCGTCCTCCTTGTCTCATGCACCTCTGCCCCCCACCTCCCCTGTCAAACCCTCCCCTGGATCGCTCGTTGTCTTCTAGACTATTTGTCGTTTGCCTATGTATGTGTTGTCTACCCTCTCGTATTTCTTTCTCATTCGTTTCGTTACCTGCCCTCCCCGCTCAATTGTTGTTTTCGTCCCCCGTCCCATCCAGACCTTGGCGGGGAAAAGGTGTCCATCACAAAGCCCGGCTTCAAGACCGATCCGAACCTCTTCACCCCCGCCCTGTTCAGCTACCCGGTGATCATCAACACGGTTCCTGACGATGGGATCGAGGTCCTCGCGCAGTGAGTTTTCCTTCTTCGTTGCGGCGATGGCGGTAGCGGCGTTGCGTTGGGTTTGTTTTGTTGTTATTGGCAAGACGTTGGCACCCATACACGAACAACAGAGGGAAGGCCTCGAAGAGGGAAGGCCTCGAAGTGGCCCCTTGCTCTACCGCTCTATTCCTGGAATATTTGGTGGCCGATACTATCAGCACAAACATCCATAGTTGGAACGCTTTGTTCGGTTGCTTTCCTGACGACGCCCATCAACCCTACCCCCCCGCTTTTTCAGGTACGTCGACGGTGACAGCGAGCCTTACCTATCCGGTGCCGCGGGTGACCAGGAAAACGCTGCGATGCTCAGCTACACCGGTGCCGACGGCCACGAGGAGCTCCACGTCTTCTTCACCATCGGCTGGTTCGACGCCGGCGCGTGGCCGTGGGCGCACTTCTTCAACGAGTGGGCCACCAAGGGCATCTTCATGGTGCGTGACTTGTCGTTGATGGTGCTCTGCCGATGGTGTCGTGCACGGAATACGACTCCTTTGTGACTTTTAAGCAGCAGTGCCACAACATATTGGTCTTGAAGCTCGTGAAAATGAGCGCAATCAATTGGTTCTTCGTGTATGTGCTCCGGGTGGATGCCCAACGTTGGTTGTTGATGATGGATGGTGTTGACCACTAGCAGCGGTGGAGTCCCATTACCTTATCCCCGACCCCTCCCTACTCTCGGAGCATGCTGTCGCCCAACGCATGATTTGAGACTCAAAGGTCCTGTAAAACCTCCAAGCCCAACCCTATCCGGGGTATGGACGATATTCCGTCTCCGCGCGGTTGGTCAACAGCAGTCAAGTGATGAAAGTTGAAGCTTCTATTGAGTTACATTATGCCCCCAATAATGCCTCCATCCCCGACTGGCTAGGGAGAGCGCCGGTTCTACCTGGCAGCGGTTGTAGACGACCTCTTCCTCTCCACCCCGGAGTTCGAGTACGACGGAGAAATGAACGAGGCTGCGCTCTCTCAACGGTGCACGGGGGAGGACCTGACCAACCTTCTCCGCGTGCAGGAAGCCCTCAACACCCAGTACTCGGGGTCGGACATCATCACCGAGTTCGCCTTCAACGGCGCCGGTATTGCGGAGCATGTGCGTTTGCTGGGGTGCAAATCTCGTTGGTTGATGTCGTGATGTCGCTAGGTGCTCAGGTGGTAAGATGTGTGCATTTGCAACATGAAGATGGCAATGGTTGTGTAACATAACGAGAAAGTGTTCCATGGCCGTTTCTCCAGCCGGCCATGGTGTAGTCGAGTGAACAAGCGCATCGTTGGTTGGATATCTGTCTCGACTTTCGACAGAGTCATGCAGATTTTCGAGGGTGGATACGATGCAATCGAGCGTGTTGTTTCGGCATTGTGACACCACCAAACAGGTATCACAATCGGTCGACGGCATCACGTACGTTCCTAACTACGAGGAGACGATGGTGACAATCAAGGGCACCAAGTGGTACGAAGACGGTAAGTTGGCTGTTCAGAGCATATTTTCGGTCCTTGATCTCTCTGACCTCCTAATCAAGACCTCTACCGGTACACCATGTACTACATTCGCCTGACCCATGACCATCGGCAAACGATTTGACGTCCCGGTACATGTGTGCAGAAGAACACAATTTCTCACAAAGGCTAGGAGCAAACAGTGGCGTCATAGAATCGCTTTGATTGCCACTTGCAGGAACCCTTCTCAAAATTTTGCAGATTTTGTGATGTAGAGCCCTCAATGACACAGCACATGAACACATCGTATATGAACGAAACATGCTCGCCGAGAACATGGACTCCACCACTGAAAGTGCATCGTAAAAAACACCTTACTCTTCGCTCAGATAATACACCACCCAGCCCGCCCCGATTGCCGCACCGACGCACTCCCTCCCGAGGTTTCAGGTCAGGTAAACGTCCACGACACCAACTGGCTCGCCACCAACGTCCCCCTCATGCAGCAAGACATGGCCGACGGCACCTGGGAGGCCAACGACGACCTTCTCGCGGGGGTCCTCAGTTACCTCTACAAGCCTTCCTCGTTCTACCACGGCCACCACACCCTCATCCACCTGTCCCGCGACCAGCTGCGCGAGTCGGACTGCGTCACCGAGGACACCGGTGGGGGCCATACGCTGGAAGTATCGCAAACCTGGATAGCCGTAGAGCTGTGGCCAATGACGCCTCGTGCATTGGTCACCGGACTAGTTTTTTCACAAGTGGAGAGCCGATATAGTCTCTACTGCTGGCAGGGACTCGAGCAGGTGATTCGACCAGAAATCAACAATGCGGCACAGATAATATGCGTGCATGGACACGCATCTGCGAATCGCTGCCTTACTACGTATCTCGAGTGACGTGCAAATCGCTGTCATGACCCGCACGTGGGATGGCGAGACCACCCAATACTCAACGAAACAAGATCCCGTTTCTCTCCCCGCCATCATGACACATTTTTCAGGTAACGTGCAGATCGCTCTCATGACCGGCATGTGGGACAGCGACAACTACAACTGGCGCTCCATGGTATCCCCCGGCATCACGGGTCTCTTCAACGAGAACTGCCTAGACTCGGCGGCGCAGAATCTCATGGTGTGCTACCCTGGCGACAACACCTTCGACGGAACCGTGTCCGGTGCTGCAATTCTGGTCAACGAAGACAACCAGTTCCACTCGATCTACTCGACGGTTGCCATCAACGGTGAGGGAGGGTTACGCCTAGCAAGTATTATTGATTTTTGTTTTTGGTTGTGAAATATATACGATTGGTGTTGCCACTTCTCGCCTATATATTTGTGAGCTTTCGGGGCAATCTGGTTGTGGTAGATATGCCGTTAATGGCGTACCAGCGGACGTAAGGTTCACATCCTTTCCCGTCAGCGGTTCTTTCTATCCCAGTCTAGCCCGTGCTGCTGTACGGGTAGGGTCACAGCTAGAAGGGCGCTCTTTGGGCAGTGAACATGCATGGTATCTTCGAGCCGTTGTTTCGTTGTCGAGTTACGCCACGTATCTGGTGTGAACTGCTTCATCGCTCCAGTGGGCGCTTCTTTGTCGAGGCATTTGTTTGCTGTGCCGGCGCCAAGGGCAACGAAGGCTGGTAATCATCAAACTTACACCGTACACGCCACGGCGATTCTTGATCGAGAGACCCCGAGTACGAGAATGCAAGCTCATCGACCCGGTGGTCTTCATCAGCTTCATGAGACAAATAGTAACGTCTGGTATGTCACAGCACCTAGAAGTGGGTCCACCCTTCCATGCTCTCGGACCTCTCCCCAGTCACCCCCTTCCCCCGCGAACCTCTTTGGTGTGGTTCTTGCGATGCTTGCACTCACAGCCTGGTTCTCTCTGCGGCCAATGCAGGCTATGATGGCATCCAGATTGTACCCAGATTCGCGACCTACGTGTACTTCAACTGCGTTACTGGTGACGTAAGTGACTCAAGTATCCCTTAGATCAGGGAATGTCGAGATTCTTCCCGACTTTCTCTCCAATGCACGACAGAAACGTGTGAAACTGACGCGTGTCCCTTGATGTCCCTGCTCTTTCGTGGTGAGTAGCCAGCGGTGTACGCCTTCGCGAGCGGACGCACAAACGTTGCGTCTCGTCTTAGGCGGCATATTAGCCCGGCCCTCTCCTGCGTCGTTCTTGTGTTATTGTGTACAACCGTGGCGAAAAAGGCTTGGATACTTGACCGTTTCTGGTTCGTGCTGGTAGCCGTCTGGTGCCACGCCGTCGCCATCACTGAAGCGCACCGGCCCGAAATCCACACGGAATGGATTCTCGAATCCTATTCGATGGCAATGATACGACACCAAGGGCATGGTCGGTCGCCTTCTTGTTTTATTCTTGCCTCTATCTCTCAATAGCAATTGTTGTGCTGCTGTCGTCGTTTATCTTGTCTACCATATTTTGTTGCCCTATTCCCTACCTGTTGCCGGGCTTTTGCAGTGCCTCGTGAAGGAGAACGAGTACATCAGGCGCTTCGTGTGCGAGTGCACCCCGCTCGACCCAAGCATCGCCGATTACGTGAGTTTGTCAATGCTGCCGCAGAGGGAAGGTGGTGCCAGTACAAGAACAATGATGAGGCAACATCATGGTACAACTAGTCCACGCACTTTTGATGCTGTCTTTTGCGATATCCTCACTTCATTATGTTCGCGGTAAATCTGCCAGGAGTCGTACTTTCGGAGCTATGTACATAGACGCTTGCGATCAAAACGTCCTCCAACACCGAGTGCTATATCTCTCCCCTCCACCTCCTTCCACTTTCAATGTCAAAGACTTGCACCAGCACGGCGGCCGAATGCATCGGCACCGACGGCGCCACCGACATCCAATCCTTCGGTGACATCGAGGCCCTCTTCGACGCCGAGGCCTCCACCACCACGCGCTACATGCTGACTGGCCGCAGGTTGGTCGTGGTCCTTGTTGTTTCCGTTTCAAACTTTTAGGTGTTTTTCGCTGTCCCTTCGTTGTTTTTCTACTGTTGCTTCATATTTGTCGTGCTTGTGCTCCTTTCTCGTGAGCTCTTCCTTTGTCCGTGCCTGAACATTCGCCAGACAAGTATGGTTTCATTTTTTATGTGGTTTCATTTCACTTTTTCGCAGTGTGTTTTCAAATGATGCTGTCTGTCTCCGGGTGTAAACGGGGGGTCTTGATTCTGACGCCTCTTGCGTGTGCGTCGTGTTGATCGACAGGTTGTGTTTACCCCTCGAACTGATATTTATCTTTCCCCTCCTCCCAGCATGTCAAAACAAAATCTCCACGTTTAGCTCCCTCCTGTCGCATTTGGATCGCAACAGGGATAAGTACATGTTCCACCAAGCCAACGTCATCCCGGCAGGGGACGTCGGCGACGGAACGCAGTCCCTGCTCGACTACTGGTATGAGCGCGTCTTGGAGGTGTACTCCAGCTACGTCACCTTCCCGGTCAAGGTGAGCCATGGCCTGCAGTACCGACATTCGGGAGGAAGCCAGGTCCGAGGTCACGTCATGATGGGAGATGAGTTCACAACTTCGCCTGCGGGTGTACGCCTGCCCCTACTCCTGCATCTCCCCGATTGACCCGAACAGAGCATCAAGTTTGACGACCTGTGCACCGAATTCAAGCTCCATGAGTCTCTGGACGAATCGAGCCCGTACGTCACCATGGGCCTCGACGCGACCGGAGCTGTTACAGGCTTCAACTACGTCTCGGGCAGCGGGGCCGGCCTCGTGCCACTTACCGTCCCGACCGCTTCTGCCGCCTCGGTAAATTCCGCGACTCGCCTCAGACTTGTTTCATTGTCTCACATTGGATGCGCTTTCATGTGTGTGGAGTGTTGAGTCTTTGTATTCGCAGTCCCGGCTACGCTCATGACAAGAAATGTGTCCACGATAAACATAAATATAATACTGAAGCAAAACAAAATCGATGAATGACGTAGATATGCTGGGCCTCAGCGATGGCACCACACTGAACCCTTGAGCAATCGTTAGCCTCGGAGAAGCTTCGGTGCAATTGTTCACTCACTGCAAGGCTTAAGCCTTTGCTCTAAATAGGGGATTCTTGCGAAAGGGCCGGGTCGGCGCGGTACTGCGCCGCCATTTGGCGTTCTCCCATGCACTCTTTGCTCGTTTTTCCGGCGGTACACTGGACGTTGCGCTTGGGAAGGACGTACGCTTGTTGTTTGGTCGAGTCTGCAATAGCTACGGTTATACTTCTGAACACCCAAAGCAAACCCACGCCCGGTACAACAGATCCCGACGACTGGCCTCTCCATCCAAGATACGGAGACGTACGGCACCGACACCACCTACTACCTCAAGGACGATGACGCCTCCACTGTCCCCAGGGTGGGCACTAAGCCTGACGCCGGGTGAGAAAAAGTGACGGCCGCAAAACACGCAATAGTAGGGAATAATCCCCAATCAATCCCAGGTAGATGCCCGTTCTAGGGAGAAACCTGATGGACCTGAAGTTTTTTTCCTTGCCAGGAGGTGCTCCTTGTGACATGTTAGCGTGGTGAGGCTGTGTGAAGCGGCGTGTTGAAAAATACGATGCAATGACCGTTCGAGGATTGACGGGAGGAAGAAGGAAGAGAGACGCGCTACCATACACAAATGACCTGGTGCATGTGAGTCAAGTAATCCATACACCTGACACCAAGTGGGTATGATGCCTGTCAGCGCCGAAAGCCATGAATGCCAAGAAGGAGAAGTTAGAGCGTCATTAGAGGCCACCGCAACAATTGCGAGCGGCTCCACGACGTCTATCATCAAGCTTCGCCGGACAAATCGCGTTCGAAGTCCAGCCAGCACGGCGAATTGGATCAATTCGATCTCTTCCCCGCAACGCAACGCCTGTGCACCAAGTCTGCCTCACTCTGCGTGTTGCAATTGTCTTCTATCGCCCTCGTGGGAGAATACCCGACAAGCAGTAGCGACTCGTAACACAAGCGTCCCCGATGGCTCGGGTACCTGACCTCAGTCGACTTCCTCGCCACCATCTCGGCGCCTACGATCCTCCCTCGCCCATGCACGCCTTGCCGGGACCGCCTCAGCTCTTGCTTCTCTCCTCCCGAACTTCTCGATTCCTTCCAACAATTTTCAGCGATCTCGCCGAAGTGCCGCCGTTTGTGACCGAGGAAGTCATCACCGCTACGGAGAGCCCCGCGGACGTGGTGGAGAACGCGGATAACTTGGCGGAAAACCAGGAGGCGAACGCCCTCGTGCCCGCCGAGAATTTCGGTAACTTGGGCGAGGACGGCCTAGTCGACGCGGACGTCGCGGCAGACGTGGTGATCGACGAAGGGGAGGGAAAACGCCGCATCTAATTTCGTGTGAGAAGGGGGCCCTTTGCGCTCTGTTTGTGGAGCAAATGGGAAGGAGTCCTCCCAAGTTTCTCAATAGAAGTATTATCTTCGAGGATTTTTTATGATAAAATGCCTCAGCTAGTGAAGGTAGGTGTGCTTTACAAGAAGACAGGAGGTTATCTATGTATATACGTTTCTACCGCTGCGCTGCTTGCCGTTGTCCCCTCCGTCGCACTTTCACTTTCAACACGTAGTATACCTCTACCTACGGCACCAGCTAGCTAGGTGTGATCAGTCGAACACTGCCAAAGTTGCGAACGTGAAAATTGTTTGTACTATACAAGTAGGTATATTCGGTGTCAAGGGAGCAGACTCATACTATTTGATTCCTGAGGATGGAGGAAGCTCCGTCTTGTTGGCGAGCTCACCCCCAGATGCTTTTCCCGTCACCACCGAGTGCTTTCATTCCGAAGCACTCTACATGAACGTAGGGAGCGGTTGTTGTGCTGTACTATGCATGGTACGCAGTGTTAATGGTTCTTGATATCCAGCCTTCGTTTGCCGTTCATGAAAAGCACGTATTTTTACAGTACTTGTACAGTGGTGACATGCGTATGCATATCCGTTGTACAGTAGATGGCGGGTGGCTTGGTGACGCACGGTGCAACTCCAGCAAGAAAATCCTTCTTGGCTTGGACAGAGACGAGAGCCAATCATCCGATCGATGTCGTGCGGTGTGAAGGCCATCTAGTGGGGTATTTGACTAAATCGGGAGCGAGCAATTTAGTGTTGATCATGTGTAGCATGACATGGCGGCCATATCATGTGATTCGGGGTCCCAGTATGTACCGTATTTTTTACAAACAGATAGTGATAAGTACATGCCGTATGTACATAGCTGGTACTATTAAATATTATGAGAGATTTACGTTGTTGGTTCTGTTTGGTGGACACGGCGGTCGGTATGGTAAAAGGAGCCAGACTCTGGGGGTTGGGTTGACATAACATCTGTGTCATTAATATAAATTATTTGGGATCGAATGCTGTATGCACATGTACGCACCTGGCGATGCAGCAAATCCATCTCTATCTACCTATAGAAAAATGGATTCGATAGATTAGCAATGAATCCACAGCATCAGCGGAGGCTACATGTACCTGTATTTCCACGATGGATTTCCCGAGCAGCACACACACGGCGACATTTCGCAAGCCCCGGATTTAGCGACATAGCAGTGTATGGAAAACAGCCGATCAGTCTATTGGATTTGCTGGGAAAAAGAAGTGCAGTGCGTGGCGTCGCCTTGCGTCGTTCTCGGAACTTCTCGGCCCGAAACCGAGAGTAGTCTATTCTGCGGACCGAACACAACACGCGCACAGATTCTTTGGTGTTCGTTTTGACAAGGAAAACTTCATTCCGTTCGAAACTATGTACGTAGTCTAGCGCGTAAAATTCAAATTTTGAAATCTTCATCCATCACATGCCGAGTCGTCATCTCACTCGTCCTCACACATCTCCCACATCTCCCACATCTCACACATCTCACACATCTCACACCCATCGAACCCAGACACCGTCCGTAGCCCGAGCCCGATACACACCGCAGCACCAAGTCATTCCTCTCGTTTCCTTGACTCCCACGCCACTGCTGCCATCCTTCTGACAGTGGTGGCGATTCGTTCTCGTATCGTCTCCTCCCTCCTCCATCCACTGACGACTGGGAAGAGAATAAGCTACAATGCCGCGCACGCAGCAGCTTATTCTGGCGACAGGCGCCCTGTGGGCCACTGCGAACGCGGCTGGGATTCGCACGCATGGTGACGTCCCACTCACTACCTCTGCTACCCGCAGGCTGCAAACCTCGGTGAGGGGTCGGCAAGTTCAGAGTCGTTTTGTCAGCGTCGCTTTGCGAGTCAGATGGTGCTGTGTTTTTCGTCCAGGTGTGTACCGTGATCTTGTTGATGTTTTCCGTTGGGTAAAATGCGAGGCCTTTCTTTGCCGCCACACGCTGCGTAGAGTTCGTGCATGCCGGCTGGCTATGTGTGTGTACTTGTGCTGACCCACTATCTTGTGCGGCGTACACCCCGATACATGACGATCGGTCCATGCCCGAGGTCAGGTGTGAACTTTTCATTCGAAAGGAGGCTTGAGTGTGGACTACACACAGGTTTTCCGGAGGTTCGAGCTTCGAAATATCTATGCCGACTAAGTGCATGTAGGGTCTCGCCGGTTTAGACGATTACACAATAACCCTGTTCATGAATGCGTTGTTACTTGCAAGATCCCATCTCCGAGCCGAGAAAATGGCGTGTTCGCAAGGTCTAGACGTCTGGACCCAGTGCAGAAGAGAGAGAGGGACAGAGAGAGAGGGAGACGCCGCCGCCAGACCTCGGCAAGCTGCCGGAGATACTGCCGTAGATAGGAGAAACGTTCATGAAATTCATTGCTGCAAAACGCTGCACATACACCCCACCAGCACAAAGTGAGTGCTTGTCATTGCTGAGAGGGAGGGTGTACGCGACTATAAGGCACATCGGCAGGGTACGAGAGAGTGAAGAGTGAAGGCTGCGTGAAGAGAGAGGTTGGATCTCGCCTAGCTGCACGAACGAAGGGAGAATCGCGCCGAATCGTTTCTGTTCTAATGTGTCTACAATAAGTGCAACAATTGATGCCTTGACACAGGCAGGGCTATCTCTCACAGATGGCCTGTGAACAGGCGGCACAGAAGAGCGAAGCGACAAATAGTGCACTACATGATGAATATGGTATGTTTTGCATTGCATGCAGAATGTTGCCTCTGACCTCTGAGTTACTCGGGGTTAACCCGGACTCGAGGGTGTATTTTCTCCAGGTTCTGAATCTTTACAATACAATGGCATTCCCAGTCTCTGGTTGCAGTATTACTGTAGCGAACAACCTTCTAACAGAAGTAATCCCTCAGTTCAACTTTCGCCGATGTCTTCCTCCCTGGCCACAGCCCAACTAACTCTGTGTATATACACCCGCTGATATACACTGGTAGATAATAACAAACAGCATGCATACAATTCCTCCTGTAGACTGCGGCTGTAGAGCCGCAGTCTGTTGTGTCGGACCCCCCCCACGATGTTGTTGAGCCTTTATTTTTCGTCCCCCTTGAGTACTTACAAGTCGCCTACAGTCTCATGTACATTGTGTCAACGATAGACTACAGTAAATGCTTTTACATGTACATCACGTTCGTCAAAGAAACACCCCCTTTTTTTGTTGGCCGCCCACCACGCTGTTGTTTCCCTCGCAGTTGCCTGACGGCGTTGTGACGTCCGATCTGGGATGCTGCAGGGATGGCAGGAGCGACCGTGTACTCGAACAGGAGCTTATGGATCAGACCGACCTGACGCCGGATGTAAGCATTATTTGTTCCGCACAAAAAAAATCACCTGTCTTTTTGTTAGGCCAGTATCACGTCAGCTGTGTGAGCTATTGGGCTATGGAAAACGTCACACGGCAGCTGGCAGTCACGGTGGGTTTGTACCTCATCTGTAACGGCCCCTGTTTAACGTGATGACACTATATGCGCTCTCATGAGCCCTCTGTGGAGGGATCACTTGTAGTCTACAGGATTAACGGGAGTGACTGTTCCCATCGGGCGGGGAGTCATCGATTGTTGTGTTTGCAACCGTCCGCCACCTTCCCAACGACAGCTATCGTCGGTACATCGGCACACGCAGGCGCTGTAAATGCTGTGTACGTGGCGAGCGTTTCCCTTCATATCTACAACACGTACGCATACATACGATGTCAAGTCTTCGTAGCTGGACAACAAGTAGTAGGTAGTGGAGGGTTTCGAAACAGTCCATCTGGCAACACTAGACAGTTGGTGTCCGGCATGTATCTGGCTGCTGCCTCTTGCCCGCTGAGACCATAAACACTGCACCAATGCACGAAACATTATTGACAACATATTCATTTTTCCTTCCTCTCGCTCTGTTGCCTTTTCATGCCCTCTTCAGACGTGCGCCCTACACTGTTACAGTGAAGGCTACCAGTTCTACGGTCTCCAGTACGGACAGGAGTGAGTCGGCATTTTCGGATCACCTGCATATGTCAATGAGACTTGCAGCACCTGTAGGAAGGCGCCTGTCATTGGGGTTCGGTGGCGGACGAAGAGAGGAGACGATGTATGCGTAGACCACGAACGGCAGATATGAATGAGGGAATGACAGAGTTGGTAGATTTAGCGCCCGAGAGAGCGTGGGCATATTGCGCCAGGTCGGCACTTGCTGCAATAGTAGTAGCGTACTTTCTGGTGAATACGGGGCATTTCGTTTCCATAATTTGACCGTACGATGATCAGGAAGATTCGGTGAATGGTGAGAGGACCTACACATACAAATTAGGTGTTCGGTGAGGCACGCAACTCTTAGGTGTACGCCCCAACCTCTCCCCCCCGCCCGATCGGTACTTGTTGGTACCTCTAGATGCTGGTGCGGAGTGGCGGGCACGGACTACGACAGGCTGGGCTCGCTCGATATGTCCGAGTGCGCCTATCCTTGCACCGGCGACGCGAGCTCCACGTGCGGGGGATACCTCGCCTTCCAAGCCTTTGAGCTTGGGTCCCAGAATCAGCCTACCACGGCCCCGCCCACGGGGTACCTTGGCTGCTACGCGGATGACAGGTCCAGGATCTTTTCGGCCCTACACGTTACTCTCACCGACAACAATGCGGAGGCAAGTTTCTGCCTGTGAGGGAGCGGGGCGGAATCCCACCTCCATATGCCCCGAGGAAACGTATTCTCCGAGAGGGAATGATACCTTGTTGCTGAATCGCTCAAAAATCGCGCTGTTGTTCTTGTTGTTTCGGTGTTGAAGAATTTGTGGCCTCGAAGCCTTCCCGACTCCATCTTGCGTCGCTTGTCTTCGTCCTCTATATCAGGGGCGTCATGAATGGCAACGTTGTGGCGTCTTTCCCTTTGTCCCAGAAATTGATGCATCTATCTGTAACAAACCTTCTTTTTTGTTATACAACACATGTATTCTGCCCGACGATCTCGCAGAGCTGCAAGGCTTCCTGCGTCGGTTATGCTTACTATGGGCTACAGTATGGCGAACAGTGAGTGGGAGACGTTTCGTGATGTTGTATTTTGTTTTCGTGGAATGTGCGACAAAGTTGTTTTGCTTTGATCAACTGAAGTATGCAGGAGTCTCCTTCTCGTGTCAACTAGTTCAAGGTATTCGGAGACGTCGAAAGACATGTATGTCCAGTTTCTTGGGGGTCCTGAGTAGCAGCCGTGTGGGAGGTTGGCGCATACGTATTACGTTCTTAGGTTTCATGTCATTTGGAAACCTGACGGCAGCCAAATCTTGCTACCGCCGAAAACACGCTCATGTCCCCTCTGAAACTTGTCAATCTCTGCCTCGCCCCCCTCGGCGTTCATGCACTCTGTTAGGTGCTTCTGTGGCACTGCGGACGAGGATTACACCGTTTACGGCGAGTCCGATAACTGCGTTCTCTCCTGCACCGGAGACGCTTCGTCCACCTGCGGTGGCTCTTGGGCCATGGATGTGTACGCCATGGACGGTAAGGACAAGAACGACGATAGGCGCAGCCCCTGTTCGACATCGGACTCGCGTGGCTTATAGGAGTGTACCAGCGTATGTTGTTGTGGCTGTTGCCGGGTGGGGGTGGTGGTTAAGGTGTGTTGATAGGCGATGTTCTCATTCTGTTCCCAACCCCCTTCCCCCTCCCCTACTGCCTCTGGTCTGCTTGATGGTCAACGACAACAGATGATTTGACGGACCCGCCTGCGACGGCCCCACCTACCACGGACCCGCCTGCCACGGCGGTATCCTCGGGGTATCTTGGCTGCTACGCGGATACCCGGACCTCCAGGATATTCTCAGCCCCAATCATTGCTGATGCCGATAACAACAGTGCGGAGGTATACTTCTACCTTTGTGGGAGCTGGGCGGATTCGCACCCCTGTATGCGCGAGCGAGCCGTGTTCTCCGAGAAGGGATTGCTGATATGTGGTTGCTTAATCGCTCCAACAATCGTTGTTCTTTGTGTTCTCTGTCAGTGTGGTATTGATGCCTTCCCAATTCCACTTACCATTACGAATCTTTTGTGCTAATTACGGATATGTTGGCCACCCACGTCGTCGGCCTCTCTCCCTCCTCCTTACGAAAGGATCTGTGATCCGTCTTACCAATGCTGGCATTCCGCCCGACGATCTCGCAGACCTGCAAGGCCACCTGCGTCGGATACGCTTACTACGGGCTCCAGTACGCGCTACAGTGAGTGGGAGACGTTTCGAGATTTTAGTGTTCGGACTGTAGGATGCTCCTTCTGTCGCCGATTCGCCTGCTGGGCTAGTGGTTTTCGGAGACGGGGAAAATGAGGGCGAATTTGTTGGGGTTTTGTCTAGCAGGCGTAAGGCACGAAAGGCGGGCTTACTTCTTTCTTCACTTTCTTTGTCACCGAGTACCTGACTGAACTCTCCTTGCTACTGCGGCGAACACGCCCGTTTTCCTCCGCCTCCTCCTCTGAAGCTACCATTCTAATTGGCGTTCATGCACGTTGTAAGGTGCTTCTGCGGCACTGCGGACGAGGATTATACCCTTCACGGCGAGTCCAACAACTGCCTTTACCCCTGCACTGGAGACGCTTCGTCCACGTGCGGTGGTGCTTGGGCCATGGACGTGTACGTCATGGGCGGTAAGGATAAGGACGAAAGTTGGTTGTAGCCCCTCGTCGGCGTCGTACTCGCTTCTCTTGTACGATGGAAAACTTTCATGGCTAGTGTTGGGTGGTGGATGTGATGGTGGTGATTTGGGGATGGTCTCTTTCGGTTCCCAACCCCCTCCCCCCTGCTCTGTCGCCTTTGTGGTATGTTGCATGGTCAATGACAACAGATGATGTGACGGCCCCTCCTGCGACGGCCCCGCCTACCACGGCCCCTCCTGTTGCTGTCGACGGAGACGTGCTCGTCGACTTGGTGCCCTGCCTGTTCTCTTCCGTGGCGGTGCGTCGAATTAGATCAGCGTGCATGTAGTGAACATTGCTCATGGAGTACAGCAATATCCTGGTGTCTCTGTTGTTTCATGTGTGTGGATCCTCCTCCGTGCGTGCTTCACGTTGTTTTATTTTTGCAACGCTGTAGTATTATTCATCTAGTGGGGCAAGAGAGATCACGAACACTCTCAAGGCTGGAGGAAGCCTGGGAAAATGGAGAAGACGGTAAACTTTCTCCACGCGACGAAGCGGGGAAGACGCTTAACCGTATATATTTCTGTCCCATTATTGTTTTCAGCTTGTCTTTGTTACCATGAACCCCGTTTTCCCTGCTACTTGAGTCACATGTGGTTCACACGATCGATCAACTAACACGCAGCGCGCCATCAGAAATGATTCTATGGCGCCCAACTTATCCATTACCGCTTTGTTTCACCTTGGTGGTGGTTACCCAGGTCGAGAAATCAAATGAGAACAACCCGGCATTGTACATCATGTCGCTGTTCTTCAAGGGATACTGGTCTCCCAGGACGGTGAGTTCTAATTCACCTTTCTAATGTTTTGCGAGTTGCTGTCCTCGATACAGCGACGGGTCTTGAATAGTTTTTATGTCTCGAAACGAAACTGCTGTAGGGATAAATGGCGTCGTCCAGACGATGTAGAGTCGGGGTCCCTCCAGACAAAAATATGGGCGGGTGGCCGGTATTGGGCGGAGGAACACTCTTGGCACAGAATAAACAACCATATCGTTTATTTTCCAGCCGTGTATGTTCCAGCATATTCCATATGCTTCCAGCAGATGCGCCAACGATATTTTGATGGGATTGGTTGACAGTTCGCTGTTGCTACTTTCCATGTTATTTTCTTCGGCGTCCCTGGCTATTGTCGTCTGTCAAGCGAGACAGAAAACCGGCTGGGGTAGGGGTGTCTTCCGTCATCCCAAAGGGCCATGCGCCAGAGCACCAACGGTGACCGTACCGTTCGGTTGGTGTACGTTTACCCGATGGTTTCCCCCTGTGCATCATACGTGAGAAAAAATATGCAAGTACAGAATCCGGAAGGAACTCCCGAGCCAGCGACGACATGGTGGTACTAGCATGTTTTTTTTGTCCTTCTGCCCTCTCGCGTGAATTATCCCGTTTCCATCCTGTTTCTTTGTTCAGGATGGCTGGCGCGACAGCACCCGAAGGCCTACCATGTTGCATGCCCATGCTGCACGGTTTGTCTTCTCTACATTCCTGGCAGGAGATCGCCAAGCAGGGTGCCAACATCGTCCCAACCATACGAATCAGTTCCACTCACCCGATGGCACATGACGACAGTTGCGCCAAGCGGATAGTTTCCGGAAGACATCGACCTTTTTTGTTCACCAGCCACAAATCGTCGCGTCACACACCTTGGCGTATTTCCACCAATTGAGCCTCATCCAACTTGCTCCCGTTGACACTATTCTCGACAAAAATCGGGTGACATATCGACCCTACCACCTGTCTTTTTCCGATAAGAGTCGCGCTCGCCTACCGTCCAACCCCACCTACAGTACCTGAATGATCGAATCGAACCTATTCAGCCCAGCACTGCCCACCGTACACCTAAACCCCCCTCGACACGACAAAAACCCTGGTACGTGACCGCTTGCTGTTGCAGGAGGAGTATGTCGTGTCTGAAACCGACGACCTCACGGCCCTTCTGGTGGACTCCAGCGACACCACGCCCCACGGAAAGTGCAACGCTGTGTACGTGGGCTACGCGCCGTCCACGGACCAGGTTGCCGCTCTCACGGCCTACTCGGCACAGTTTAAGGTACAACGTGGCACGCGAGTATCACCTTCGAGATCCACTCCGCACCTCTCTTTGGGATGCTTTAGTTCAAGGATGTATGTGTACCTCGTTGTCGTTGTTTCTCGAGATCGCCATCGATCAACACTTGTATTGTAGGAGGCTCTCGTGCGCAGTTTCTGCCCGAATCCCGCCTTTGCTAGAATACCCATCTACATGTGTTTTCCTTGAGTTATATCGTAAACAAACTGGCTTCGTGTGCGCCATGAAGTTTCCTGTGACCAGTCGATGTAGAAAAGCCGCCGATAGTAATGTCGAGGCCGGAAAATTCTTCCCCCTAGTGTAGTATCTTTTTCATTGTGTGAGCGTGCGGTAGTGCTTCCCGTATTCTGTGCGTACATGTACAGTGTAGTTCACGTTGATATGGAAATTCAAACACCAGCTTGACTTCTGAGAAACTAAAAGCTTTATTATGGTAACATGTACGCATGTTCGTCCCGGACTGCGGCTGGTCCCGTTTACGTTTTACTGTGTGTGCAATCTCTCTGGGTATTTCTGTATCGTTTCTCCTTGTTTCCTTTTGCAGGTCCGTCTGGTCTACTTCCCTTCCGCTCTCACCCACACCACCGCAGAGTTTACGACGAAACTCGGGATCCAGACATACTTCGCCGGCGACATCGTGACTCCTGCGTTCGTGCAGCTCAGCGGTGAGGTTCACCTCTCACGCAATCTCGTTCCTAAGCACAGCGGCAGGAAGAACGAGAAAGTGGTTCATACGCCGGGCAAAACAGCGAAGCGGCCAGGCATCGGTTTCTATGTTGTGTTCTTGTCTACCTTTGCTGCGGCAGTCTTGTCCCCCCCGCTCTTGCTTCCAGCTGTTTCTCACCGGCCCCTGCCGCAGGCCTCGGCCGTGGTTTTCGTTTCCGCGTGGTTGACCGGTTCACGTCCGAACTTATTCTCATTGCCTCATGCTCCCTCCGCCCACAACAAACAAAGCTTCCCGCGATCTCACTTCTCGAGTGCATATTTACGCGCAGGCTCACGTCTCACCATTCTATTTGCTAAATAATTGCACCTGCTGCCCCTCGCCCGATTCACGGTCTCGACCCCATCTAGACCTGGGAAGCACCAAGGTGTCCATTACGCAGCCTGGCTTCAAGACCGACCCGAACCTCTTCACCCCCGCCCTGTTCAGCTACCCGGTGATCATGAACGAGGTTCCTGAGACGGGGATCGAGGTCCTCGCGCAGTGAGTGTTTCCTTATTTGTGATGGCGATGGCGATACCGGCGTTCCGTTCGTTTTTGTTCATTCTGGCCAAATCGCTAGCGTGCATATCAAGGTATCAGAAGGTAGACCCCAAAAGACTGGCGTCAAATGGCTGGGGTATGCGCTGACCCACGCTATCCGCAGAAGCACACGTCATTGGAACGCTTTGTTCGGGTACCCTTGTACCCTTCTGATTCCCCCCCATCCATCCATCCTGTCCCGCCCCATGTGCAGATATGCCGATAGTGCCGGCGAGCCTTACCTCTCCGGTGCCGCGGGTGACCAGGAAAACGCTGCGATACTAAGCTACACCGGTGCTGACGGCCACGAGGAGCTGCACGTCTTCAACACTATCGGCTGGTTTGACGCCGGCGCGTGGCCGTGGGCGCACTTCTACAACGAGTGGGCCACCAAGGGCATCTTCATGGTACGTGTTTTGTCATTGATGATGCTCTGCTTGGGATGTCGTCACAGTTTACTGTATACGACGCCGTTGTGACCTTTCTACAGCAATGCAAGCTCGGAAAAGATCTCGAATAACAGTTTTTTTTGTCTCTGTTCCGGTGATGTCCAGCGTTGGTCCATAATGATGAATAACGTTGCCCAATCGCAGCAGTAGGACCGCCACTACCCTATCCCCGACCCATCCCTACTCGTGGAGCATGCTGCCATCGAACTCGTGGTTTGAAACCTAGAGGCCGTACCATCCAGACCAACCCTATCCGGAGTCGGGACAACACTCCGTCGCGCGGTTGGTCAACAGCAGTCATGTAGTTAGGGCGAAGCATCTACGGAGTTGAATGCTGCCCCTAAATATCCCTCCATGCATCCCTCCTCCCCCTATCGAACAGGGCGAGCGCCGCTTTTATCTGGCAGCGGTTGTCGACGACCTCTTCCTCTCCACCCCGGAGTTCGAGTACGACGGAGACATGAACGAAGCAGCGGTCGCCCAGCGATGCACGGGGGAGGACCTGACCAACCTGCTCAGCGTGCAGCAAGCCCTCAACACCCAGTACTCGGGGTCGGACATAATCACCGAGTTTGCCTTCAACGGTGGCGGAATCGCGGAGCATGTGCGTTTCGTGGGGTCCAGGTCTCGCCGTTTCGTTCCGTCGTATCGCTTGATGCTTGAGTCGCAAGGCGTGAGCGTTTCCAATATGCAGAATGAATGCCATTCGTGTAAAAAGAGAAAAGAAGCGTGTTCTGGGGCCGTTTTGCCAGCCCCGAAATACGTAGTTGAGAGAAACAATCTAGAGCAATTGAGTATTTCGATTGTCGAAGTGTGCTCGGTCTTGCGGCAGACTAATACAACCTTTTCAGGGTGGAGGGCACGATCTCATGGTAACGTGTTATTGTCGTTGTGCGTATGACACCAACCACCAGGTGTCACAAGCGGTCGACGGCATCACGTACGTCCCCGACTACGAGGAGACCATGGTGACCATCAAGGGCACCAAGTGGTACGAAGACGGTGAGTTGGTACAGTATTGCAGTTTTCTTTTCGTCCTACGGGTAGTTATGGAGTCTCTCTCTGACCTCCTTCGAGAACCTCTAGAAGTACACAACCCGTGCCTACGGACGTAAAGTGAAATTGAGGCGGTCTCATCGAGCCATCCCAGTTATCGGCGCGACAACACATAGCGACACGAACGGAAAGCGATTATTGTCTTGGCAACAAGGACAGTCAATTCTGGGTAAGCATTCCGATAGTTTGAGCTAATGTGCATCGTCTATCCGGTACCAAGGCCTACCCTCGATGACACGGCACATAAACACAAGATCACTTCACGGGCGATATCTGGACACCGTATATAGACGCAAGGATACCCGCCGAGATCGCCAGCAACTTGGACTGAAAGTTCCGACAACGCTCGCCCCCCCCCTCGACCCATCTTCTTCCTGTGGTTTCAGGTCAGATCAACGTGCACGACACCAACTGGCTCGCCACCAACGTGCCTCTCATGCAGCAAGACATGGCCGACGGCACCTGGGAGGCCAACGACGAGCTTCTCGTGGCGGTGATCAGCTACCTCGACACGCCTTCTACAATCTACCACGGCCACCATACCCTCATCCACCTGTCCCGCGACCAGCTGCGCGAGACGGACTGTGTCGCCGACGACACCGGTGAGAATCAAACTGCAAGAGTCACAATCCTGGTAACGATAGAGCTGTGCTCATGGACGCCTCCTACATTGTTCAACGCTCTGGTTTACAGAACGGGTAGAGTCGCCGGTTTTGTCTCTACCGCTCGTCAGGGAGCACTCGGGTGTGCGGGCAGAAAGATCACTGCTTCAATGCGTATTTTCGGTAACGTTCAGATCGCTGTCATGACCGAAATGTGGGAAAGCGTGAAAACCAATAGCATAAAAAGTCCCATTTTCCTTCCCCGCCATCATGACATATTTTTTCAGGTAACGTGCAGATCGCTCTCATGACCGGCATGTGGGACAGCGACAACTACAACTGACGCTCCATGGTATCCCCCGGCATCACGGGTCTCTTCAACGAGAATTGCCTCGACTCAGCGGCGCAGAACCTCATGGTGTGCTACCCTGGCGACAACACCTTCGACGGGACCGTGTCGGGCGCTACAATTCTGGTCAACGAAGACAACCAGTTTCACTCGATCTACTCGACGGTGGCCAACAACGGTGAGGGAGGGTCGCGTGTACCGCAGGCGTTTATTCAAATTTTGTTCGTCGTTGTAGAAACCATACGATTGGTCGTGTCATCTGTTGCCCCTGTATTTGTTAGTGTGAGCTTTCTGGGTGCTCTGATCTTTTTGTAGCGAACGTGCCGTCAATGCGGTCCCAGCGCACATGCGGTTCGCACCCTTTACCGCAAGTGGCTCTTTATTCCCCAGCCAGAGTTGTTGTATGGGTAGGTCGAAACAAGACGGGCGTAGCTTGAGCCGTTGTTTTCGCTGTTGAGTTGTACGGTGTGAATTTGGACGCCAGTCCATTGAACGCTTGCTTCAGTTGTTGGGTGCCCCAGTGCACAGGAAGACGACGGCTGGTTCCATCAACCGTACGCCGTACACACTGCCGTGGGTGGCAGAAAATGCAAGGTCATTGTGTAACGGCGCGCGCGGAAGAGCGCCCTACTTTCCGCATGCTAAGCACCGACGACGCTATCACCTTCAACTGCTTCGGGGCGTTTCCGGTGTGATTATCGCGATACTTGTACTCACGGCCTGCTTCTTCTCTCCAACAATGCCGCGTGCACTCTTGTCCGTCCTTATACTAACCCTGCAGGCTACGATGGCATCCAGATCGTGCCCAGATTCGCGACCTACGTGTACTTTAACTGCGTCACCGGCTCCGTAAGTGGCTCAATGATGTCCAGAAACATGCGGCATTCCCTAAGCTAGTGTTGTGAATGAAATGTGTTTCTTGTGTTTCTTGTACACCTACGTGTTGATGTACACCCAGCCGTTCCCGAGGCTCGGCCTACAATAGGTGGGGTTTCAAGTCGGCCCTATTTGCCTCATCTTTGTTGTGTTTACACTCGTGCAGTGACGACCGTGTTTGGCTTGAATGCTGGGTCGCTTCCGGTTGGAGGCTCTAGCCGTCTGGTTGGTATTCCGTCGCCATTCTGAAGAGCGTCGGGCGAATACATTCAGTGGGTGCTTTGGCTGCTCGAACTCCGTTCGATGATGGATGACGCGAGGACGTGGTTGTTTGTCTCGTGTTTCGTCTGCTCGCCTCTTTGCCTCAGTAGCAATGGCTATGCTCTGCGGTGACCACTCTTCCTGTCTCTATTATTGTCCTCCTTCCTTTCCGCTGTGCCCGGGCTTTTGCAGTGCCTCGTGAACGAGAACGAGTACATCAGGCGCTTCGTATGCGAGTGCACCCCGCTCGACCCAAGCATCGCCGATTACGTGAGGTCTCTCAATGCTGCCGTAGAGGGAAGGTGGTGCCGTTACAAGAACAATAAAGGGGCAGCAGCATGACACAATGGCGCACGTTCGATACTGTCTTGTGCAATGTCATATCTTCACAATGTTCGCGGTAAATCTGCCCGGCAGTGACCTTGATTTTGCATATACATCTGCAATCAAAATTGTCCTCCACCGACTGATCTCGCACTCGCCTACACCCCCCTTCCTCAATGCCGCCGAAGAGTTGCGCGAGCACCGCGGACGAATGCATCGGCACCGATGGCGCCACCGACATCCAGTCCTTCGGTGACATCGAGGCCCTCTTCGACGCCGAGGCCTCCACCACCACGCGCTACATGCTGACCGGCCGCAGGTCGGTTTTGGTCCCTTTTGTTTCCGTCTCTATCTTTTTCGGTGCCGGCTTTTGATCATTTCCCGTTTCGTTCTGTGTGTCTTTACGTATTCTTGTGCTGAAGGGTGGTGCTTGTAGTGTTGCTTGTTTCATCCGTACCGGAAAGCACGCGACGGGAAAAACTTGTGGTGGTGGTGTTACTGCAAGAGGCGTGCGATTTCGCGTGCGGTTTCGTCGAGCTGTGTTTCGTTGAATTTGATTGGTATGTTGTTGTTCGTCTGCGGGTAATATGCCGGGAGTGCTGTCCACTTTTCATTTAGCGCTTTCCAACAAATGGTAGTTGTCAGTCTATGGCATGTATTGGCAATGTTGATTCTGCAGCCTCTTGAGCGCCTCTGATTTCCCATCGGAACTAATCTAATCGTTCCGTCCCCGAATGCCGAAACGAACCTCTCCACACGGACTTCCTCCTGTCGCACTTGTATCGTGACAGGGACAAGTACATGTTCCACCAAGCCAACATCATCCCGGCAGGGGACGTCGGCGACGGAACGCAGTCCCTGCTCGACTACTGGTACGAGCGCGTCTTGGAGGTGTACTCCAGCTACATCACCTTCCCGGTCAAGGTGAGCCATGCCTCCCAGTACTGAATGAAACCCAGGGGATAACGTCTCAACATCCCTGGACAGCCTGCTGTTGAGGTGCCAGCCGTATTCATTGGTACCCGAACAACACGCGTGATGATGACTAATGAGTGCACAACCTTGTCCACGGGTTTTCGCCTGGCCCTGGCCCTTCTCTCGTGTAACTCCCCAATCGACCCGAACAGAACATCAAATTCGACGACCTGTGCACCGAATTCAAGCTGCATGAGGCTCTGGACGACTCGAGCCCGTACGTCACCATGGCTCTCGACGCGACCGGGGCTGTCACTGGCTTCAACTACGTCTCGGGCAGCGGGGCCGGCCTCGTGCCGCTTACCGTCCCGACCGCTTCCGCCGCCTCGGTAACTCGCTTAAGCCTTGTTTCATCGTACCAAAGGAGATTGGCGGGTTCATGCGTTTGTGCGGATGGTTTGTGCGGATGATTGCGTTTAGGTTTATGTAGTGTTGGCCCAGCTGACCTCGCTCTCAAGATATTTGCTGACAAATACATCGAGGTTCATAGGCTCAACACACATCAGAGAAATGGAGAAATGAACGTGAGCTCAGCGCCAAGTACCACACACAAACAGTTAGCGAGGGCCTTGGCGCAATCATTTCGTCAGTACCAATGTTGCGCCCTTACTCAAAGTTGCTGCTTCTTACGAGCGTGCCGGGAGTGCACTGTAGCGCCCTTCTTTCAATCCTCTGGACATAACACACGCTGGTGTCATCTTTCTTCGATTTCCATTTTCGTTTTCGAAAGCTTAGGTCTCATATGCGTATATCTGTCTGCAAATATCACAACCGATAAAGCAGATCCCGACGACCGGCCTCTCGATCCAAGACTCGGAGACGTATGGCACCGACACCACCTACTACCTCAAGGACGACGACGCCTCCACTATCCCCAGGGTGGGCACAAAGCCTGACGCAAGGTGAGCCGAGCGCGGTGAACCGCGGCAGGCGAGATAGGTTGGGATACACCGCTCTCTCACCAAGTCTGGGTAGATGTCCGGCGTTGGGACATCAGTGATGGACTCCGAAGTTGTGATGTTCGTTTTGTGACATACTGGAAGGACCTCGAAATTGACACCGTCGTTGTCGTTCTTTCAGTAGTTCCTCGGCAAGAGTTTCTTCTCGTGACCACGGCAGCGTCGTTAAGGCTGCCGTTAAGTCTGTGTGAGATGAAACGAACCGGTGATCGACGGGAGGAAAATATGCGACTAATTCTTCGTGTAAATCCGAAAAAAGCGGTCTTTTGGTGTATGTTGTTCAATCCAAACGTAGCGGGTATGATGCCCGTCGTTAGCTTCAGAAACCACGCGAACGAAGAAACGAGGGTTCGGGCCACAGAAGTAATGGGTCATTCAACATCCACGAGCGGAGCGATTATCATCGGGCTTCACCGAACTGCCGCATTCGGGTTCCAGTGAGCGCCATCGACTATCGGTGGGAGGCTTTTTGTCCTGTTCTCCTACCCCGCCAGATGCCTTCTCCTTCCCACGTTGTCTCCACTAGGAAAGGGTGTAGATTTGGTTTTTCCTCACGAGGAACTCCATGTCAAGCAAAGTACCAAGGGGGGTTGTTTAAGCTGCCGTGCGTTCTCGGTACCTACGTCCCGTTTATCCATGAATGCCTCCTCCCGATTGCAGACATCGCCTCTCCCTCTCGCAACCTCTCCTACTTTGTCCTTCCGCCACGTTTGTTTACAACGAGCTTGCGGAAGTCCCGCCGCTTGTCGCTGAGAGCGTTGCCGGCGACGCCAGCGCTACGCAGAGCCCGGCGGAGATCGTGGCGAACGCGGAAGAGTTGGCGGAGAACCAGGAGGCGAATGCCCTCGTGCCCGCGGAGCACAGCGATCTCTTGGCCGACCAGGGCCTGGTCGACGCGGACGTCGCCGCAGACGTGGCGATCACCGCAGCGGAGGAAGAAGGCCTCCTCTAACTTCAGAAGGCGGAAGGGGGGTGCGCCACTTGCGGCTCTTGCACCCTGTTTTTTTAGGGAAATGGGGGGCCTCCCATGCTCTCCCGTTGGGTTTCCTTATTGTGTAGCCCAGCTTCCTTGTTGTCTTGAGAGTTGCTGATATCTCCGTGAGTGAAGGTGTGCTTTACAAAAACGCGTTTAGTCTGGCTGTCCACTCGGCCTCTCTCGGTGCTACGGTAGTAGGTACGGGCGTTTCCTCCGAGTGCGCTCTTAGTGTAGAACACGTGAGCCTCTCTATTCGAGTTTTTTCGTAGGCGCCATCTGTATATTGGTTGGATCTTTCGAAGATTACCAAGGCTGCGAACGAAGCAAGTGTTGCAAGTGTTTCTTGAGTCAAAGGGAACAGCCCGTCATCTACTGTTTATGTTTTTCCGTACGTCGTGCTCTCCGCTCTAGATGTTTCTGTCTGTCTGCCACTTGCCAGGTGTTCTCGGCCCAAGGCACGCTGCTATATATATATATATATACTGTGGTCGCAGCGAGGGCTGGTTGTACTCTGTTGTAGTATTTTTTTTCTGCTGATTTGTCTTTAGCTTGTGGTGACTGACTGACGCGTTCTGCATCTATCCGTCCAACAGGCCAAACATTTTTCTGTATAGAGTCGAGGGTCAATCGTCCGAATTGTTTATTGTTAGTGTCAAGTTTTGGGGTGGCAATAGAGGATCTGTGGAGCTGAGTTCGATGTTGCCGTAGCATGACATGGTGGCCACGTGTTGATGCAGCTTTATATTGAGTTGCATCCTTCATGACGACACGTTGATTATGACACTACAGTAGTCTACATGTACAGTTTCTTTTAGAGAAGAAGATTATTTTATATTGTTTGTGCAGGAGTGGCTTATGCAAACTGCTGGTGTCTTGTTTTTAGCAGACGGTGTGTCCTGTCTTGGTGTGCGTGCCCCGTCGCGGCCCCGAGAAGAGCGTTTCCTCTACAATTGCCACCACCACCTCGGGGACGTGTCCTCGAGATGTTGAGGGCCATTGCTCACAATCCCCGACGGCAATGGAGACAGACGTGAAATACCCCAAACGATTCACCTTTGGTGGAGTAGGAGCACGAACGGCCGGCGGGTTCGCCGAGTTTTGTTCAACACTCGAATTTATTGTTTGATTGCCAAATGTTAGGATGAATACATCTGTAAACGCTACTGCACCACTTTCATCAGACACCACCAGTGAGAAGTAGGATCATGAAAAAAAAAAAAAACGAATACTTGCGACTTGCATGTACCGCTCACCGCTGGTGACGCAGGGCACGAACACCCTCAGCAGGACTTATAGTAGACTACTTTTCTCCCATACGTCGCGAAGAAGTTTTCTGCACACCTCCGCTCCCCCTAAAAACTTGCTCCATGTTTGCTTGAGACTCACGAGTAACGAACGGATAATACCGAGACTTCGAAAGCTTCATTAGGTGTACAGTAGTTCCGTCTTTTGGTCATGTCTTGCATGCGCTCTCTTTTTTGCTGTGCGCAAAGCCTTCCTCCCCGAAGTCTTGGCCGCAAAACTCATTCACTGCCCACCAAGGACGAGGCATGCACTCTGAATGGTGTGTAACGTGCACAAAGATCTCACGCGAACGTTGGTTCTCCTCACCGTGTCTCATCATGTGTGCGAATTAAGAAAGCCACGGGCGGCGAGTATACTTACAGCAGGGTAGACAAGGATAACACGCGCCCTGGACCGATTTTCAAAGCTGGATTTTATCCACGGCGGAAAGAGTCGCGGCGGCGAAAACGGCGGCGGCAATGAAGCTGTCTGGTCGAGAACTACCCGAATACATTATCGTTTATTACGGGTGCATTCTCTTTGTGGAGTAATCGAGCTTTGAAAATCGGCCCAGGGGGGGAGGTGTTACCTTGTGTCCTGTACGGTGTTCAGCCCCCGGGGCACACACAACAAGCACAGATCTCACCAAAGGTATATATGGGGGGAAAAGGTAGTTTCCATATACCTTTGGATCTCACAGTAATTGAAGCTACAACCACCGGGGGTATTCTTCCCTCTATGGCATCCCTGCTTCATAGAAAATTCGAGTTCTTCGCCGCCGAGGTTTGAAAACCACATACACGTCCCGCCGTGCTGGTGTAGAAAAGCGCAGGAAAAATCTTCGTAACGTGTCGGTGCCACGTCCGAACAGCAGTCTATATCTTCTGCGGAGGTTGCGGGGGTTCCCTGAAAATTCGTAAATTTGAATCTTCCTGCTTTTACGAGCCGAATCGTCCTCTCATCCCTCACACCACACACACCAACAGACCCCGAAGCCCGCAACATAAAGACCATCGCAGATCCTCCCGTTCTCTTGGTATCACACCCTATCTCACCCCACTGCAGCAGTCATCCTGCTGACTTGGTGGTGGTGTGATTCGGGCTTTGTCCTCTCGGCCGACCTCCGACTACGGACTGGGAATAGCAGCTATGCCGCGATCACCGCAGCTTGCGCTGGTAACAGGCGCCCTTTGTGCCGTCGCTGCGAACGCGATTGGGATTCGCGCTCATGGAGACGTCCCCGTCACTACCCCTGCTACTACCCGCAGGCTGCAAACGACGGTAAGGGGTCTGCAAGTTCAGCATCGTCTTTGTTTGTCAGCGTTGTTTCGCCCGCCAGGTTGTGGTGTTTTGCGTGCCGTATGCTGCTTGCTGCTGTTCGTGGTACGCAAACAAGTACCATATGTAGGTAGGCAAGCAGGTCACACGAAATAGTCCGGTGTGCATGGTGGGTGTGTTCTTTGCCGTATCTTGTCGTACCGCGTCAAGCCAGGGGCCCTCCTTTGCCACCGCCTGCAGAGTAGACTTCGTGCACATGCCCGGTCACGTTCCCCGTCCCGTGTTCATGCTTGTGCTCACCATCTTTTATGGTACACACCCCGGCATTACGATGCGATCCAAAGAACGCTGGGTCCGTCCGTCAGGTTTGGCAAGTGAGTGAATGGCGGAATAACTTTTTGACGCACACATGTTTCCCCGAGAAGACGACTTGTAATTGCAAGTGCACACTGTGTAGTACAATGGAGAGTCTTGCGGCTTGGCGGTTCTGCCAACACCACCACACGCTGAGAGAAGCGACAGTTCCCAAGACGGAAGAGAACCGGCATGGGGGGATTGTTGTTCTCGATAGGACGTGGCATGTGTGCTATTTCTGAAACAAAGCATCATTGGACGTGTGAGGTGTATGCAACCAGACCCTCTCGGCAAGCTGTCCGACGATATGATAAGCAGTTCATGATGAGCGCCGCACCCGCGCACCATACAATAGACAGAAATAAGAACAGAATCGTCGAGAGCAAGTGAAAGGTGCTTGCTGTAGTCTTATGCCTATCTGGCTGGTGGGGAGCACAATGTGTATAGTCTACACCCCACCAGCATGACTGAGAGTAAGAGTGTTCATGGCAGGCTGCCGAGAGTGTGTGCGCAGGGCACGAGAGAGGGAGAGAGAGAGAGAGAGATCGGAACTCGCCAAGCAGCATGAACGAGGAAATATATCCGAAGGCCGAGATCTCTAGACTAAATGATTTTCGTTTGTCGTGTAAACCTTAATGAAAATGGTGTCCCTGTGTCCTGCCAGAGGGCTCCAGAAAACGGAACACTGGCCTGTTTCAGGTGGTACTAATTGCTAACCTGGCGTTGGCTTCACGCTGAGTGACAGGATAAGGCACATGAAGTGCAGTGCGTTCACCCGAACATTGCTGCCACCGTTCCCCAGCATCACAACGAAAAACCATGTGTTTCAGGCTCCGTCGAGATTGTGGTTGCTTGCTTGGTTTTGTCTAATTGTACATCGTGGTCCAATTAAAGTGTCACGCCGAGGAGGTCCCACCGACCCAACCTTAGTTGGTACTCGCTACAAAGGTGTCGACACGGGTGTATGTATCACATTATTTATTTGAGCGAGATTAATTAATACTCACGGCCTCAGCCTCTCAGTTTCGGTGCATCTTCACACACCACGTATCACAGCGAACTCGTCGATTGGGCCACGGTGTATGCCTTTCTTTGTGGTCAATAAAGTGTCGTTACGGGGGTAACCTCGGGGTAATTACATAGATCCCAACGCAAGCCAACACGGTCATCTTTCCCGGATTGTTATTTTCACGCTACAATATATTTGTACCTTGTGCCTGTCCACTTGGTGGACAGCAGCGTCACGCCGGCTTCCACAGCATCTTTGCACTCCGTGAGCCTTGTAGAGTCCAATCTCCCACACTACTGGCAGTTCTGCTAAACCGCCCATGGGACACCCGGGTAGCACTAGCCACCGGCATATCAACCTAGAACTTAGCCACCGGCGGCAATGTGTAGCACGCATCTGTGGGCTTGGGGTTAGGGTCAGGGTAAGCGTTAGGGTTATTCGCCGCTATAACGTCCGTTCCAATGCAGATAATCTTGATTAGGAGTACACTGGTTCCGGTTGAAGGCACAATTGACCGCCCATGGGCTACCCACGGGCTGCTCACCATGGACCCAACGTGGTGCCCATGGGCGGTTTAACTAAACTAACTGCAGAAAGTGTGTCGAGGGTCCTGCCGCAATCACAGCCATCCGTCGTTTTGTTCAGATAAACCTGGCAATTTTGTATCGTTGCGGCCAGCCCCCCTAAAGGTATCGTCTCGTGCAATAGACGCGGCTCCCCTCGCGCCAGCGTAGGAAAACACGAGCAGCTATTGTTTCACACTCGATGTCGCGTTTTGACAGAACGTGTCGCTTGACTTGCCCTTTGGATAAGAAAGCGGCCAACTCATCAAAAAACTTGCTAAATTTCGATGCCGAGATGTAGACTCGCTTCAATACTCCCGTGTCTCTAGCGCCATGGTCATGCACTCTGACGACTTGGTCGAAAAGTCCTCTTTGAATTTTAAATACGAGGTAAGAACTAACGCCTAAATCTACGTTTACTCTGTACACGGGCAAGTAAATGTATCATGGGTTCCCTGTTGTTGTGAGTTGGGTCCCAGAATGAGCCTACGACGGCCCCGCCCACCGCGCCCCTGGCTTCCATCGTTCATCAGGTCACGGGGTACCTCGGCTGCTACACGGATACCAGGTCTAGGATATTTTCGGCGCCAATGATTGTCAGCTCCGACAACAGTGCGGAGGTACGTGTTTCTACCTTGTTGTTGCGATCTGGGGCATAATCGCGCCCCCGTATTCGCGGACAAACGGTCAGGTGGATTGTGGTCTCGTTGTTGTCGCCCCAACTATTGTTGTTGTTTTTGTGGTCTCGGTGGCGAAGAACGGTATCTACGCCATTGCAGTTTCACTGCCCCGCCGCATGTGTTTGTGTTCTATATCAGGATATGCTTATCTGGCAGCGTCGTTGGCCTCTACACCCTCTTCCTCGGAAAATGACCCATCCATCTGTGACCCGTGAGAAGAAACTCGCTTCTGTGGTATTCCGTCCGTCGATCTCTCGCAGACCTGCAAGGCCGCCTGCGTCGGTTATGCTTACTACGGGCTGCAGTACAGAGAAGAGTGAGTGGGAGACATTTCGTGTTTTGGTTGGTTTTCGTTGAAAGAGCGAAGGTCATGTTGCTATTTTCAACTGCAATTGCAGTGTTGAGTTGTTATTCTGTTCTCGATTACTTCTCTATTGGACTGAGTGCTCGGAGACGACGAAAAGGTTCGGCGAGTTGGTTGGGGTTTTATGTAGCAGGAAATAGGTACAGCAGACTGGCCTTACGGTTTTCCTTGTCTTGTGGTTCGGATACCTGAATGCACTCAATCCTCGTCACCGCGGCAAACACGCCCATTTCCCTCCGCCCCTTCCTCTAAAACTCGTTCCCTGTTTCGGCCCCCTCGGCGTTTATGCACGTTGTTAGGTGCTTCTGTGGCACTGAGGACGAGGATTACACCATCTACGGCGAGTCCAACAACTGCGTTGCCTCCTGCACCGGAGACGCTTCGTCCACGTGCGGCGGAAATTGGGCCATGGATGTGTACGCCATGGACGGTAAGGGCAAGGACGAAAGCGGGTGCAGCCTTTCTTCGAACTCGCTTCCCTTCCCTTGTCGAACCATAGGCCGTTCTTGCGTGGTGGTGGCGACGGTGTTGGTTATTGCGATGGTCTGATCATGTTCCCAACCCCCGCCCCCCTTCTCTGTCGCCTTTGTGGTCTTGTGCATGTTGAACGATGACAACAGATGACGTGACGGCCCCGCCTGCGACGGCCCCGACTCCCACGCCCCCTCCTGTCACGGCGGTAATCACGGGGTACCTTGGCTGCTACGCGGATACCAGGTCCAGGATATTCTCGGCGCCAATGACTGTTAGCTCCGACAACAGCGCGGAGGTATGGTTCTGCCTTTGCGGCAGCTGCGCGGAGTCGCACCCGTGCGTGTTATTCGAGAAGGGGTTGATAGCTTGTCGCTGAATCGCCCCGACAAATCGGTGTTGGTTTTGGTTGCCTCGCTGGTTGTAGAAGTGTGGTACTGATGACTTTCCAATTCCACTTTTCCGTCTCTGGTATCATTGTGTTCTGTCTAAACGGTTGTCTTGACCGGCGCCACGTCGTTGGCCTCTTTCCCTTATTCTCACGAAAATATCTTCTGTGATCCGTCTAACGAAACGTGTATAGTGGGGGCCCCTCAACAACGCCGGTATGTGCCCGGCGCATCGCCGGCGCTTTTCAATACACATAATTACTTGGATGATGCAGTCTGTGCTCAGAAATTCCACCGGCGCTACACAGAACCACCAGAGCTAACCAACCGGCATTATTGACGCGCCCCCCGTGCTTCTTTCTTACGTCCGTCAATCTCGCAGACCTGCAAGGCCGTCTGCGTCGGTTACGCTTACTTCGGGCTGCAGTACAGGGAAGAGTGAGTGGGAGACATTTGGTGTTTGTTGGTTTGGCCATGTTAGAGAGTACAAAATTTTTTATGTTTCTGTGGCTGAATTGTTCCCTCTCTTGTCAACTATTCGAAGCGTTCGAATCCGACGAAAAGAGATGACAACATGCCGATGCCCTTCCTCCGAACTTCGATTGGTCTCGTTCGCTTTGTCGGCGCCCTCGGTTTGGACTCACGTTGAAAGGTGCTTCTGCGGTACTGCGGACGAGGATTACACGATCTACGGCGAGGCCGACAACTGCGTTCTCGCCTGCACCGGAGACGCTTCGTCCACCTGCGGTGGCGCTTGGGCCATGGATGTGTACGCCATGGACGGTAAGCATACATTTGGACGCCAAATATGCGCATCCCTTCTTCATTGTCGATAACGCTTCCCTTGAAGTATGCATGTAATCGTAGACTGTTGTTGCGTGGTGGTGGTTGTGGCGGTGACGACGGAGGGGTTTGGCCGTTACATGTCTATTTCTGTTCCCGTTCACCTCCCCCCTAATTTCGCCCCCGCTCTGTCGCCGTTATGGTCTGCTGCATGTTCAACGATGACAACAGGCGACGTGACGGCCCCGCCTGCCACGGCGCCGCCTACCACGGCCCCGCCTGTCACCGCTCCACCTACCACGCTGCCGCCCACGACGGCACCACCTACCACGGCTCCGCCTACCACGGCCCCTCCCACCACTTCCCCTCCTACCACGGCCCCGCCTACCACGGCACCTCCTACCACTGCCCCTCCTACTACGGCACCTCCTACCACGGCCCCGCCTACCACGGCGCCACCCACCACGGCACCTCCTACCACGGCCCCGCCTACCACGGCACCTCCTACCACGGCACCTCCTACCACTGCCCCTCCCACTACGGCACCTCCTACCACGGCCCCTCCTACCACGGCCCCTCCTACTACGGCACCTCCTACCACGGCCCCGCCTACCACTGCCCCCCCTACCACGGCCCCTACTGCGGCTGTTAGCGGAGACATTCTGGTCGACCTAGTGCCCTGCCTGTTCTCCTCCGTGGCCGTGCGTATGCAACATTAATAGATAGAAGTAATCCGTAGACTACAGCAACTCCTTTTTTTCTCATGTGTGCAGATTCTCCTCCATGGCGCACGTTGTCTTTTGAATAATTTCGGCAATCTCTGTCATGCCTGGCAACGAAGGTCGACACACACTTTCAGGACTATTTGTAGGGCAGCGAGAAGCCTGGCAAAGGTGAAAACGGTCGACTGAGATGACTTGACGAACAGCAACGAAACAATTAACTGTGCCTTTCCGTTGTTTTCATCGTGTCTCCGTCCCATTACGTCGATTTCCTCCCTACGCAGTCACATAGGTATCTACGACGTACTTTACAACTTAATAATTATTGCCGGTTCGTTTCTCGTGGTTGATGGTAACCCAGGTTGGACAGTCGAACGAGAACAACCCAGCATTGTACATCATGTCGCTGTTCTTCAAGGGATACTGGTCTCCCAGGACGGTGAGTTCTTATTCTTCTTCTGTTGAGGTTGAGAGATGCCGCACTCAACACCACGACGAGTCTTTCTTTTTTATGTCTCGAAACGAATCTACTACTGCTGTGCGGATAAACGGCCTAGTAAAAGTTGAGGCGAGGTATTGGAGTGGCGCCGGCGAAGTCGAACCCCGCCCACCGCGCCTTCCAAGTCGATCAACCGCACCCATGGAGGCCTACTAACCGATCACAACTAATCGACGCCGACACAACAACCGCCTTCGCAAACGCTGCTGCTGATGTTGCTGGGGCTACAGGAGGAGTATGTCGTGTCTGACACCGACGACCTAACGGCACTTCTCGTAGACTCGACCGACGCCACGCCCCACGGATTGTGCAACGCCGTGTACATCGGCTATGCGCCGTCGACCGCTCAGGTTGCCGCCCTCACGGCCTACTCGGCACAGTTTAAGGTACAACGTGACACGCGAGTATCATATACCTCGCTATAGGCAAGGTCTACTTGATCAGAATATTTGCAATAGGTTTCGTTGTTTCTAAAAAATTCGATCGATCGATGTATGTACTATGTGCTCTCGCGCACAATTTCTGCCTGAAACACCCTTGTATCTACGGATCTACATCTACAGTTTTGCTTGAGAATTATGTCGTAGACTGGCTTCAACGTTCGCTTTGAAGTATCCAGTGGCCAATCGATACTGTAAAGCCACCAATAGCAGTGTAGAGGAAAAACCCTTGTACCCCGCGGGTTCTCACCTTGTTGGTTTGTTCGGGCGTGCGGTGTTTGTCGCCTTGCTTCGTGCCTAGTCCATACAGTACTCTGTACAAAGTGTTGATACAGAAGTGCTAACACCAGCTTGTCTTCTGAGGTACTAAGAGCACTCGTGTACTGGCATGTGTGCATGTTCATCCCGGACTGCAACTGGTCCTTGCCCTTGCCGTTGCCGGTGCGTGTGATCTGTCTAAATATTTTCTGTGTGGTTCTCCCTCTCTTCCATCTTTGTGCAGGTCCGTCTCGTCTACTTCCCTTCCGCTCTCACCCACACCACCGCCGAGTTTACGACGAAACTCGGGATCCAGACGTACTTCGCCGGCGACATCACGACTCCTGCGTTCGTGCAGCTCAGCGGTGAGTTTCACCTCTCACCCAGCCCTGGTTTGTGAGCAAAGCAACAAGAACAAGTGATAAAATATTTTGGGCGAAGCAGCAGTGGCCGTGGCATGTCATCTTGTTGTCAGCGCTTGCTGCGGCAGTCAATTCCCCCCTCGCCTCGCGCTTGCAGTTCTTTCTCACCCGAGCCGCTGCTCCCGAACGGCGCGCGAACGGCGCGCGGTCTCTGTTTTCAGCTCCGTATTGTTGGCCGTTTCCGGTCGTCCAACCACTGTTTTTCTTGCCTCGTGCTCTTCTGTCTCCCCCACCCCCCTCTTAAAACTCCTCCCCCGCTCTCTCATGCTCTTATTGACGGCCGCACATTAATGTGTAAGTCCGAACTGTCGTCCTTTTTTTCCTTCGCTGTTGCGCCTGCTGCCCCTCGTCCGATTAACGATCTCGACCCCATCTAGACCTGGGAAGCACTAAGGTGTCCATCACGCAGCCCGGCTTCCAGACCGACCCGAACCTCTTCACCCCCGCCCTGTTCAGCTACCCGGTGATCATCAACGCGGTTCCTGAGGACGGGGTCGTCGAGGTTCTCGCGCAGTGAGTTTTCCGTTTTTGATATGGCGATGGCGATACGGCGTTCCATTCGTTTTGTTCATTCTGGCGAAAACAAGTGCGAGCGTACCAAAGAAACAGAAGGGAGACCCCAAAAGACTGGCGCTAAAATATCTGGGGTATGTGCTGCCCCATGCTATCCGCAGATGCACACGTCATTGGAACGCTTTGTTCTGGTACCCTGGAGGTTACCCTTCCGATTCAACCCCCCCCATCCATCCTGTCCCGCCCGATGTGCAGGTATGTCGATAGTGACAGCGAGCCTTACCTCTCCGGTGCCGCGGGTGACCAGGAAAACGCTGCCGTGCTCAGCTACACCGGTGCTGACGGCCACGAGGAGCTGCACGTCTTCAACACTATCGGCTGGTTCGACGCCGGCGCGTGGCCGTGGGCGCACTTCTACAACGAGTGGGCCACCAAGGGCATCTTCATGGTACGTGTTTTGTCATTGATGGTGCTCTGCTGATGCCGTTGTCACCGTTCACGGTGTACGATGTCGTTGTGTCCTGTCTGGAGCAGTGCCCACCAAAATATAGGTCTGGAAAGCTCGTCGAAGAAGGGTGAAATTGGTTGATTCGTTTGTGTGCTCCAGGGTGGATTTCCAGCGTTGGTCGATGATGATATATGATGTTACGCACTCATAGCGGTAGGGGCCACCATCACCTCTATCCCCGACCCCTCCCTGCTCACGGGCCATGCCATTGCCCGATATCCAGTGTGACACCCGAAGCTCCATCCAACCATATCCGGAGTAAGGACGATAATCCGTCTCATGAGAGAAGCGTGGTTGTTCAACCGTACGTACGGAGTTCCCTGCTGCCCCCAACTAGTCCTCCGTCCAACCCCCCCTCTTCCAATCGAATAGGGAGAGCGCCGTTTCTACCTGGCAGCGGTTGTCGACGACCTCTTCCTCTCCACCCCGGAGTTCGAGTACGACGGAGCAATGAACGAGGCTGCGCTCTCTCAACGGTGCACGGGGGAGGACCTGACCAACCTTCTCAGCCTGCAGCAAGCCCTCAACACCCAGTACTCGGGGTCGGACATCATCACCGAGTTCGCCTTCAACGGCGGCGGGATCGCGGAGCATGTGCGTTTGCCGGGGTATACGTCTCGAGACGTGTGCGTCTGTTGGATTTCTTCCGGACAACAGCCACCGCAAGAAGTGAACTATGACCACGCGAAGGATACGCTCTCATGGAGACTGTCGTTCTAAAAATGCCACATGCAGTAAAGCGCACGTATGTAGGTTGTATTATTTTGGTCTGTTGGCTTCCGACATGCCCCGCCTAGTGATGAAACGCCGACATTTCAACGCCTCCTGCTTCGTCACAAAACCTCGGTCATTGATCAAAAACTATCCCACCGCTGGATGTTGGTTGCCTTATTTTCACACTAATCAACCTCGGGTAATGACCGAAAATATGTGTGACACGGTCAGGCATGTGTGATTGCACCGCGTTTGATAATCCCGCCGCGGGGTGTGTGGTCGCTGCACTTCCGCCTAGTCGAGATGGATTCGGTAAAGCTGACACCATTCAGGCCAAGAGTCAAACGTTCTGCTCGTCGGAAGTGTGCCCGGTCTTGGGACATACCCATGCTGGATTTTCAGGGTGGAGGATACTGTGGTTCCCACTAACGTGTTCTTGGCATTGTGACACCAACCACCAGGTGTCACAATCGGTCGACGGCATCACGTACGTCCCCGAGTACGAGGAGACCATGGTAACTACGAAGGGCACCAAGTGGTACGAAGACGGTGAGTTTTTTTGTTTTTATTAGTTTTGGTTCTTGAACCTTTCTCTCTGACCCCCGTGATAGATTCTGCAAGTACCCATCCGTGAAAATGCCTGTAGACAAGGCTAGGGATAGGGTTAGGGTGGTAGTGAAAATGCAAGCGTTTTCCTCGTACCCACCCAGGTAAAGGACCTGCTCACTCACAAGGCGACGCAGAATTGAAAAACAATGACGTTCGAAACAAGAACAACCTTATTCTGGGTAGACGATCCTCATCCTCATTGTTTGAGCTAGGGTGATATCTTCCGCCCGGTCACAAGGCCTATCGGCGGACGCAAATGACAATTTCAAGAGAACTTCTCTCTCTCTCTCTCTCTCTCTCTCTCTCTCTCTCTCTCTCTCTCTCTCTCTGTGTGTGTTCTCCACAAATATCTGAATCGCCGAAATAGCGTTTCAAAATGCGTCGGAGAGATGCTCTAGAATCCTCAATGGCACGATGACACATGGAAGCGTCGTTCATAGTCTGTAGACGTAAAACTGCCCACCGAGAACAAACTCCTTGGGCTGAAAATTCAGACAACGCTGCCGCCTTCCATCGGCCCCCTCCCTCCCGTGGTTTCAGGTCAGATCAACGTGCACGACACCAACTGGCTCGCCACCAACGTCCCCCTCATGCAGCAAGACATGGCCGACGGCACCTGGGAGGCCAACGACGACCTTCTCGTGGCGGTGATCAGCTACCTCGACACAGCTTCCACGTTCTACCACGGCCACCACACCCTCATCCACCTGTCCCGCGACCAGCTTCGCGAGTCGGACTGCGTCACTGAGGACACCGGTACGTGTATCAAATACTGCAAGAGCTACTGTTGTAGACCTTGGTCACTGCACTCGTTGCCTGCAGCAGAGCAGCCGATCGATTCTCTACCGCAAGTAGGGAAGAAATCGGGAGTTCGGCCAGAAGAGTTACCCCCTTTTCTACGAATCCCCGGTGACGTGCAAATCGTTCTCACGACCGGCATGCGGCATAGCGTGAAAGTAACACAAAAACAATTCGCATTCTCCCTCCCCCCTTTTCACATTTTCAGGTAACGTGCAGATCGCTCTCATGACCGGCATGTGGGACAGCGACAACTACAACTGGCGCTCCATGGTATCCCCCGGCATCACGGGTCTCTTCAATGAGAACTGCCTCGACTCGGCGGCGCAGAACCTGATGGTGTGCTACCCTGGCGACAACACCTTCGACGGAACCGTGTCCGGTGCTACCATTCTGGTCAACGAAGACAACCAATTCCACTCGATCTACTCGACGGTGGCCAACAACGGTGAGGGAGGGTCGCGTGTACCTTCTAGCCGTGTACCCTTGCGTTATTTAGTCGTCCCAACGTATTACCTGTGTCGACGTTCCAGACGATAATTTGGTGTTGTGGTGATGAATTTGCCGTGGAAAACCATTCCAGCGCACACGCGGTTCGCGCATCGACCGCCAGCGAGGGTCTCTCTTTCTTCTGTAGCCAGTGCCATTGTATGGGTCTGGGTACGACGAGACGGGCGCTCTTTGTACAGTTCATTGACTCCATAGCTTGACCAGTTGTTTCCGTTGTCGAGTTGAGCTGGTCCGTGCCACGTGTTCGGTGTGGGCTTGCACGTCTGTTGAGTGAACGCTTGTTTGTTGAGGCAGCTGTTGGTTGTCGCGCCGCCAAGGGAGAAGGCGGCTAGTTAGCATCGCAATCACGCCGTGTACACCACGGCGGTTCTTGGTCGAGAAACCCCGGGTGCGGGACTGCAAGGTCAGGACCCAGTGTTCACCATCACACAAGATGCTGCGCTATTGTAGGACAGCCCTCGGACCTCTCCCCCGTCAACACGTTTCCTCCCGCACCTCTTCGGCGTGGTTTTGGCGGTATTTGTTGCTCACAGTCTGCTACTTTGTTGCGCCAATGCCGCTTGCGTTCGTCCTAACCATGTGTTTATTGCAGGCTACGATGGTGTCCAGATCGTGCCAAGGTTCGCGACCTACATTTACTTCAACTGCGTTACGGGCTCCGTAAGTTACTCAATGATATGTCCAGAAGCATGTAGTGTTCCCAAAGTCTTATCCTCCCAAATGTACCCGGTGAGTTGGATAGTCTTGCGTTTTTTCGTGTGCTTACATGGTGAGCAGCCTGACGTCCCCGATTTCGCGAGCTTGTACACGATCCTAGAGTCGCGGCGAGGTGCCGTTTCTTCCCATCCGACGTCCTTCTTGTGTGTGTTGGCGACCACGTTTGCCACGACGGGTGGCGACAGGCCATTGTGTGGCGGTATTTGGGGCGCCGATTGCAACCTGGCGTGGGGAGGTTGCACGCCAATGTGTGCAGCTAACCTCGCATCTCGGATAGTGGCGCTGATCTACCAAATGACAAACAGCATGTTCAAGGTCGATCCCGCCCTGCCGAACTCCTCACCCAAACCTTTTACGTTGTGATCGGTGCTAAACCTTTCCCTCTGGCCACCTGTGATGTGATGGTTTGACCGTTGCTGGTTGGTTCTTCTTGGCCTTGCCGTCTGGCTTGTACGCCGTCGCCCACGCTGATCAGCCTTGGCCCGAGTTCAAGCGGAATATTTACCCTGGTGACTCGAAACTTGTGCGATGCTCTACGATACGACACCGAGGGCATGGTTGTTTTGTCTTTTTGTTTTTTCCCCCGGCCTCTCTCCTCTCAGGAAATTCCTCTATTTACCTGTTCTGCTGGCCGTATACCGTGTCTAATGGTTGCCCCTGTTGCTCCCCGTTTCCGGCACTTTTTTGCAGTGCCTGGTGAACGAGAACGAGTACATCAGGCGCTTCGTCTGCGGGTGCACCCCGCTCGACCCGAGCATCGCCGACTACGTGAGTTTTCTCGACGAAGCTGCGGGAGCCGTACGGTATAGCGTCGGCAGTGTTGGTGCAACAGTATTGGCAGCAGGGATGAAATCACGCGGTTTCAATGCTACGTTCTCCGCACTAACAATTTTTTGACACACTGCTGTGACGGTGTAAACCGTGCAGGCCCGTCATTCATCCTCGTTCGCAGCTACAGACGTCTGCAATCTATCTAGCAGTGTACCTCCACCGACTCATCTCGCCCTCCCCGGCCTCCTCATTCCTCACTCTCCATGCCGAAAGACTTGCACGAGCACCGCGGACGAATGCGTCGACGACGACGGCGCCCCGGACATCCAGTCCTTCGGTGACATCGAGGCCCTCTTCGACGCCGAGGCCTTCACCACCACGCGCTACATGCTGACTGGCCGCAGGTCGGCTGCCGTTTCGTCGTTGTCGTTTCTGGCTGTTTCGGTGTATTTCTCTTTCCGTTCACTACATTTTGTACTCTTTCAAATGCTTCGATCGTTCGTACTCCCGTTTATTTTCCGTGTACGTACGCTTGCGTTCTTCGTGCCTAAAAGGAAGACAGGTGTGTTTGCTTTTTATGGTTTGGCGGTAGTTTTTCAACAGATGTTGTCCGTCCGGGCGTACCATCGAAGTGTTGATATCTCGCCTCTTGTTTTAAGGGTGCGTCGCGTCGAAGGGAGGCTTACGGGCACTCAGTTCGATCTTTCTCCGATGGGATGCTTCCGCAAAGGGTGTGCGGTTTCGTCGAGTTGTTTCGTTGATTTTGGGTGTATATATTGTTCTTCATCTGAGAGTTATCCCGAAAGTGCTGTCCACTAATCATTTGGTGTTTTCCAACTCATCTGAACTCTCTGTCCCGGCATGTCAAACGAACTTCTCCACGTGGAACTCTCCCTCTCATCGCATTTGGATGGCACCAGGGACAAATACATGTTCCACCAAGCCAACATCATCCCGGCAGGGGACGTCGGCGACGGAACGCAGTCCCTGCTCGACTACTGGTACGAGCGAGTCTTGGAGGTGTTCTCCAGCTTCGTCACCTTCCCGGTCAAGGTGAGCCATCCCTCGCTGTACTGAAACCCAGGGGATAGCGTCTCAGCAGCCCCGTAGAGGCTGCTGTTGGGAAAGGCATCCAATTTGTGTCAAGTCGCGGGGCGTCTTTCGATAGTTTTAACAACGCAGTGACCGCCGGGCCACTTGAAGATGCCTGTTTCGTCTTACTCTACCGTCGCTGTTAACCGAACGAAAAAGTTGTCGCTATTAACCGAACGAAAAAGTTGTCGCTATTAACCGAACGAAAAAGTTGTCGCTGTTAACCGAACGAAAAAGTTGTTCTAAACGGGACGTGCGCATACCACACGCCCCACAAGACGACCAAAGTGGTCATGCACAAAGGGATTCGTTGCTCTGTGCGTTGGCATCACTTTTTTCAACAAGAGCGGCCACGGGACTCTGCTCGAGTCTCCCTCAAACAAATTGTTTTTTTCACCTCACTTCTCCAGCAGATTTGTCCAAATCGTGGTAAGTGTTCATAACCTTGAGAATGTTTCACCCCTCCCTTCAAACCGGGGTACAGAATACCCCATCTAGAGGGCGAGGGATTCATTGCGGCATGCCCAGCCTTCCTGTTCAGCAAAACACGATTTTGCCGTTGTCAGGTCCGAGATCAAGTGACGATGAATGAATTCGCATCCTGTCCGCGGGTTTACGCCCCCCCCCCCCGTCCCCTGCATCTCCAAATTGGTTGACCCGAACAGAGCATCAAGTTCGACGACCTGTGCACCGAGTTCACGCTCCACGAAGCTCTGGACGACTCGAGCCCGTACGTCACCATGGCCCTCGACGAAACCGGGGCTGTTACCGGCTTGTCCTACGTCTCGGGCAGCGGGGCCGGCCTCGTGCCACTTACCGTCCCGACCGCTTCCGCCGCCTCGGTAAGTTCTGAGACTCACGTTGGACTCCCATCTTTGTCTTGACGAGACTTGCGGTTTCATGCGTGGGGGTGGTTGAGCATATGTAGGTTTTTACAGTGCTCCGGCGCTTTTCTCGGAAGTCTGCTTCACAACAGATATCGAGACTCACATGTTCACAACGACTGTGTTGAAGGAGTATAAACTTGGGCACAGCGCACGCACCGTACCAATTGCTACCTCGTGTGTGTTAGCATAGCAAGGGCTTTTGATACGGAGGAACGAAGAAATGGCAATCATTGAGTCACGAACTTAAAACCTTTCTCAAAATGAGTGTTTCTTACGAGAGGGCCGGGCCGGCATTAGTAGCTTTCTTCTTTCTTCGGTGTTCCAGCCGCCTACTACACAAAGCGCATGGCACAGCACGCACTTTGGTGGCGTCATACTACCAAACCCTGTTCGCACTCGTAAACTTCCCTTGCATCAATCACGTTTCGTGTGTTCTTATAACAACATACAACCGGACCGGCAAAACAGATCCCCACGACTGGCCTTTCCATCGAAGACACGGAAACGTACGGCACCGACACCACCTACTACCTCAAGGACGATGACGCCTCCGCTGTCTCCAGGGTGGGCACCAAGCCTGATGCCAGGTGAGACAACGGGGCGGCCGCAGAACACATCATGGATTGGAGTACCGCAATCTAGTCACGCCAGGGCACGTAGAAGGTCGTCTTGGGGACATGTGTGATGGACATCCAAGTTGTGTCTGTGAAACCGTTATCGTTTGTGATTCCTTGACGAGAGTTGTTTGTTGTGACCACGGTAGCGCCGTTAAGGGTGTGAGAAGAGGCGTCTGGAGAATGACTGCATGACGACGGTTCGACGGGGGGAAGATAGAAGACGTACGTATCAAAGTTTTGGTGTATTTGCGGTATTTTGTGTATGTGGGGTGCGTGGCAACCCTCTCGAGCACAATGCAAACGTAGCTGGTATGATGCCAGCCAGTGTCGAATGCCATGCGTCGAAGAAAAGAGGGTTAGGGCCAAACAATAGTGGACCCATCACGAGCGGTTGCACAATGACTATTTTGTAGCACCGCCGGAGGAATCTTGTTCGGATTCCAGTCAGCGCCGGGGAATGTCGGTACCAGCTTCAGCATTTCTTTGTTCGACCCGCCGCCTGTTGTCCAACTCTGCCTCCACCATGGGTGTTGCCGATCTCGTTTTTGTTGTACTCTCGAGAGAGATCGCGACAAGCAGAGGGACAGGTCACACGGCGTTCCCGATGGCTCGGGCACCTGGCGGACCTGACCTCCTTCCGCCTTGGCACAACAGTTTTCATTCGTTGCACATGAACGTCTCCTCGTCGCTGTTGGAAACGCCTCGGCCCCGCTTCCACCCCTCCAAAGCCTCTCCTACTTCGTCCGTCCTCCACGTTTTGTTTGCAGTGAGCTTGCCGAAGTCCCGCTGCCTGTGGATGAGAGCGTTCCCGGCGACGCCAGCGCAACGCAGAGCCCCTCGGAGATCGTGGCGAACGCGGAGGAGTTGGCGGAGAACCAGGAGGCGAATGCCCTCGTGCCCGCGGAGAACGGCGGTCTCTTGGCCGACCAGGGCCTGGTCGACGCGGACGTCGCCGCAGGCGTCGCGATCGAAGAAGCCGAGGAAGAAGGCCTCATCTAGGTTTGCGTCAGAAGGCGGAAGAGGTCCGCGCCAGCACCTTTGTGCCCTCGTTTTGGAGCGTACGGGAAGAAGGCGTCTCCCATGTTTTGTGCTCTACTCTTGGTCCATTGTGCATATTGTCCGATGGCATTTGTCATCCTGCGAAAGGTCTCAGTGAGCAACAACAGCAGGAGCAACTGAGGAGGACATCTATGTGCACGTCTCCCGCTGTGTGAAGTACCTCGAACTCTCCTCCGCATGCACGCGTGGACTACAGTAACATGTGGACCCCCGGTGTTGGCCTTCCTTCGAGCGTGGCGGAGGCACCATCAAAACGTACAGGGTATGAAGAAGACTATCAAGACTAAGGACGAAATATGTGTATCTCTTGGTAATTACTATCAAGAGGAACAGACGGAGGAAGCCCCGTCTTGGCGGCGCGCTCTCCCCTAGAATATTTTTTTCGCGAATCGCCGGGTGTTTTAATTCGAAAGAACACCGAATAGTAGTATTAGTGAGCGATGGTTGTACTATAGTCTACGTAGTGTTTTTGCGTTTTCGGGGAGTTACCGTGCATAAAGTGCATGCATTCATATGACGACCGTGTACGCCAACATATCTAGAGGCGAGGTTTTCCATGTATCCAACAAGAACGCCCGGTTTGACATGGAGAAGGGAGCGATCTTTCGGTGTCCGTGGAGGTGTGTGTGAAGATCCAATTTTCGGAGGATCTTGAGCTGGCTTTGTTCGATTCGATGATGCGTAGCTGCACATGGCAGCATGTAATATTGACCTTGTTTTGGTTCGGCTTCACGTACCAATATGTGTGCCTGTTGAGAGCGATATGTACGTGTAGTTTGTATTTTGCACCTTTGGGCATCTGACTTGTAGTTTTCGGGTGTCGTTATGAGTCTCGGCCTGCGTTCCGCATGGCCATTGTGGGCGTTTCCTGCATTGCCCACATCAAATCGAAGTAGAGCAAGGCTTCAAGTGCCCTACGTCAGGGGCTGGATGCCGAGCGGTCTCAACTCAACACTCACGTATAGGTAGAAGAGGTGGCGGCCCTCACCAGTGTAGCACCGGGGCTGCAGCACCCAGCTTTTCTTTCGTAGCTGAGCGGGATGCTTGTTTTTTTGGCCTAAGTCACTAACTGTACGTGCCGCGGGTCGGCAGTTGGTCTTCCGGGTTGGTGGACTTTCTCGAATCGAAGGCATTCTGCCGCTCCGGAGTCCTTTATTTACGAGTGTCGTGAGTGTTCGTGTTCGATGTCCACTACATGTATTTCTGCGAAGAAATCCACCACCCACTGCGGTTTTGTTGTCTTGTTTCGCACGGGTCGTCGTTAGATGGACATTTTGTGGGTATGCTTTTGAAAGGAACACGACGATCAACCATTCTTTTCTGGATCTCCCGCTTACCTTCGCTCACACTGTAGTAACCTCGCAACATTCCGATGTCTTCGTATGTCTTGAGAGCTTGTTGGCTTAGTCTACAAGTTTTCCCCGACACAGCATTTTGCCTTTAGCTCCCAACCGGTCGTCTCGTTGGTTGATGTCTGTTGTGCCTTGTCAGACAACTTCTGACTCAGGCTTGCTATTATAGTGGATATGCAGTTGTTTAAAGCAAATAATTTCGGAGCACGTTGGTAGCGCTATTCACTCCCAAGGAGCAAGCGGATAACGCTTTAATAATTTCCTCCTGAAAACGCAACCAAAGAAAGACGGAACACACTCCGGTGAAAATACGCTCCAAGAAACTTTGCGCTGGATTCGTTCGTTATCCGCATAATCCAGACGAGAGAGGAGCCGGGCAGCGGTAACCACCGTACTTCGTCTACGGTCGGTGTACAAGTATCCCGGGCAAGTTGGGAGTTAGAAGCTGGTCACATACAAATACGGAGTGGGTTAAGTGTCTGCCGCCCCCTTTCATGTCGCAATGTAAGCGGAAATAGTCTATAATAAGCGTCGTCTCCGCAGACTACGGCACAACAGCTAACGTCACATGCTGTTTTCTTTGTGTTGATCAAGGAGCCAAGTACTTCTTGGACTCGACGATACGAGGAACAAAACGCAACCACAGCTATGTACGTGAACCTTGTCGAAACGCGAGTTTGAGTTGAACCTGCATATTTGCTGTGAGCAGCTGATTGTAGAAATGAGTACTTGAGCCTATGTTCAGTTTCGGACAGATATCAAGTGTATAATCAGACCGAAGTCTGTTGAGGCAGTGGCCGTCGATATTGTTGCTAAATATGTGCCGCTCTTTCGAGACTTGAACTTTCACGGCGTACTTGGAGAGTTCTATCTCTATGTTCTTGACTCTCCTGCTGATGTTATCATCGGACGCTTTCCGCACTTCTTGCTCCGCTTTCATAGCCGCTGTCAGCCCAACGTTTGCTTGCCTTTGGCTTACGCTTGTTTCAATTCTATCTACCCTTTAACTCTTTATATTTTGCTGTACCCAAGACGCAGCATGATAGCTCGCTTGAATTTCTACTGCTGTACGTAAACTCAAATTTCAAGCGGTTTGTGAAGCTCCGTATTTTCGAATCTAGAGTTATCCCTCAGATGGATTGCTGTTTCCCTCGCTTCAGGATCTAGCCTCTGCGTAAGTCCCCTCAGTGTGGGTTATGTATGCTATTTGGACCCTTGGACCAAGATAATATCATCTGGGCGGGTTTTGATTTATTTATTTATTTATTTATTTTTGTCTTCACTTCAATCAGCGCTCACAGCACCAGTCAGTGCCGTTTACTCCAACCCGTGGTCACACAGAAGAGCCCCTCTGTCCGCTCCCCTCCTGCGGTACTTTGCCTTCGATTTTTAATGCGAGAAGAGTTCAGTACTCTCTTCCCTCATCTGTGTACACACGAACTGTAGCGCTATCCACTAGGTCAGGAGCGGAAGAGAGAAACTCACTTAGTAAGAAACGCTCGCTTACGCCGGGATTCGAACCCCTGACCTGACCAGAAGTTTTCGAGGATCACCGGGGCGACGAGATATATATGTCTTTTAGAAATACCCCGACCAACGGCCCAGATTCCCGGTATTCCGATATTTGGCACGATGGTTGATAGCAGCAAGTGGTGTCGATGCGTTCCCTCCTGCTCAGTTTTGCCTGCCTGGGCGTGAGCGATGGCGAGCAAGTGAGAGAGGAAGGAATGATAAGAAAGGAATCGGACTGATTCGGAGCGGCTCTAACCTGAAAACACAGTGGCCGGGTCGTGGTCGGGTACGCTGCACACGGCAAGCTCGTCACATCAATGAGTCGCACCAGCCAAATTTCAATCCACCTATGTACTTCCTCCTCCAAATGCATCACCGAATCGCACCAATTCAGTGCAACCCTACCCACCCTACAGTAAACGTTCATCACACACCTACCGGTAACCCCCGAATCTTGGAGACATGGAGGTGTGCAGGAAAATCTGCAAACCGGCTGTCAACGCAGAATAACCTTCGGTGCCTTTTCGGTGCGAGGATCGAACACTTTTCTTTGGGGTTCGAACTTCATCCATCTGGAGCCAACCGTCGTCTCACCCTCCCACATCGCGCGGCCACCGGAGCCCGAAATATATTATAACGCTGCTCATTCCTCTCGTTCTCTGGATTCTCTTGAATCTCACTCCACCGTTGTCATCCTGTTGTGACATTGGAGGTGTGATTCGTGCTACAATCCCTCTCCTCCAGCCGCGAAATAACCACACGGACTGGGAAGAGAATAGCAACCATGCCGAGACCGCAACAGCTGGTGTTGGCAATCTCCCTGTGGGCCGCCGCTGCGAACGCGATCGGGATTCGCGCTCATAGAGATGTCCCAGTTACTGCACCTGCTGCCCGAAGGCTTCAAACCTCGGTGAGGGGTCCGCAACCTCAGCGTCGAAGTCAGAGTTACAGTAGTAGTCGCTGGCGCTCAACTGATGCTCAAGCAGCACTGCTGCCTACCTGCTACTACTGTATGTACCAACTACAACTGTACTGTACCAGTCTGTAGTTTGGTGTGCGGTGTGTCTGTTCTACAGCATGTTCTTGTCGAATCTTGTCGTGTCGAGTCAAGCGACAGGCCTTTTTGTAGCCGCCACCCTGTTACGTGTGTGTGCTTGTGCCTAGAACCTCGCGTAGTACAACCCTGGCAACACGATGCGATCTATACCCACACTATGGCCGCCAGATTGTCAGGTTCGTGTTCGCGGAGGCCCCGGACGGAAATTAATTTCCGACCAAAGAACAAACTCGGCGGCATACCACACCGGCGCGCGCTGGAACCGCGCGACTCCCTCACTCCCTGCTACGTGTGTGCTTGTGCCCAACCTCTGTAGTACAAACCCCGGCAACACGATGCGATCTAATCCCAAAATGGCCGCCGGTGTCAGTATTTTCGGGTTGGACATTTGATATTGTTGACTCTGTATTGCTGTACTCTATTTGGCTAGCGGAGAGCTTCTGTTCCCGGACTGAAAAATAATATCCCGACCACAGAATAATTAGGGAGGGTCTCGGCGGGTAAAAGGTGCTGGAGAGGCGACGCCCTCACCCCCAAAATGAAAGATAATTGGCGTTAGGATTGTGGTAATTCCAATGTGCATATGACATCGTGCGTTCTTTGACAGAAAGGCGTGGATTAACTTGGGAGAATATATGTGTATTAATTCAAATACGACATAAGAAGAGATTTAGCTCCCAGCTTGCCACACGTACTTACAGCGTAAGGATATTGTAGCCTCTACTGTACACGATGAAGTAGCACGCAGAGAATGAAAGAATCGTCGCTTATGCGTTTCGAGGGTTGGGTCCCGAGATGAGCCTTCCACGGGCCCGCCCACCGCGTGCTCCCGGCTGCCATCGTTGATCAGGTTACGGGGTACCTCGGCTGCTACACGGATACCAGTTCCAGGATATTCTCGGCGCCAATGATTGTTAGCGCCGACAACAACAGTGCGGAGGTATGTTCCTGCCTTTGTGGGAGCTGGGCAGAATCGCGCCCCTGTAAGCGCGGACAACCCGTGATCTCCGAGATGGAACTTTCATCTTGTTCTGTCGCTCCAACAAGCCCCGGTGTTGTTAGTTGTTGTCTCGGTGTTGAACAAGTGCGGTCTCGACCCCTTTCCAGTTCCACTATTCGTCGCGAGTCCTTGTGTTCTGCACCAGGGGATTCCTGTCTGGCAGCATCGTTGGCCTCTACGCTAAATCATATATAGACACTATCCCTCTTCTCAGAAAATGATCCATCTATATCTAATCTGTCTGACAAGAATCGATTTTGTGGCATTCCGTCCGTCCATCTCTCGCAGACCTGCAAGGCCGCCTGCGTCGGTTTTGTTTACTACGGGCTGCAGTACAGCGAAGAGTGAGTGGGAGACATTTCGTGTTTCTTGGTTTTGGTTTTGTTAGAGAGTACAAAGGTTTTATTTTGAAAAAACTGCAACATGTAGAATCAATTATTGGGCTGGTAGTGCTCGTGGACGACGAAAGAGATATCGAGTGAGTTGATGGGGTTGTGTGTAGCAGGAGTAAAGCACAGCAGGCCGATAATTCGTTCTATAATGTTGTGTACAGTAGTCGGGTACCTGACCGCACTCAATCCTCGACACCGCGGCAACACGCCCATTTCCCTCCGCCCCTACCTCTAAACCTCGTTCTCTGTTTCGGCCCCCTCGGCGTTCATGCACGTTGATAGGTGCTTCTGTGGCACTGAGGACGAGGATTACACCATCTACGGCGAGTCCAGCAACTGCGTTTCCTCCTGCACCGGAGACGCTTCGTCCACGTGCGGTGGTGCTTGGGCCATGGATGTGTACGCCATGGACGGTAAGGATAAGGTCGAAAGTGGCTGCAAACCCTCGTCGACGTCGAACTCGTTTCTCGTGTACGATCGTAAACTTTCATGGCTAGTGTCGGATGGTGGTGGTGGAGGAGTTTGACGATTGTCTATTTCTGTTCCCGATGACCTCGCCCCTTCCTCTTGTCCCTGCTCTGTCATGTTTATGGTCTTCTCCATGTTGAACGATGACAACAGATGGCGTGACGGACCCGCCCACGACGGCTCTGCCTACCACGGCCCCTCCTGCCACGGCCGCGCCGGTTACGCCCCCTCCTACCACGCTGCCGCCCACGACGGCTTCGCCTACGACGGCCCCTCCTGCCACGTCCCCGCCGGTCACGGCCCCGCCTACCACGCTGCCGCCCACGACGGCGCCACCTACCACGGCCTCTCCTACCACTGCCCCTCCTACCACGGCACCTCCTACCACAGCCCCTACTGAGGCTGTCAGCGGAGATGTTCTCGTCGACCTAGTGCCCTGCCTGTTCTCCTCTTTGGCGGTGCGTATGCAATACATCAGCGTGCACGTAAACATATACCATGGTAGACTACATAACTCTTTTTCTTTCATGTTTGCAGATTCTCCTGCATGGCGCACGTTGCCGTTTGAAAATATTAGGCAATATTTTGTCATGTGTGGCAACGGCGGTCACAAACACTTTCAGGGCTGCGAGCAGCCTGGCACATAGTGAAAACGGTAAATGGAGATGACATGACGACAATACGACAATACACAAACTATGCACCAGTCCTATTATTTTCAGCGTGTCTTTTTTCCATAAACCCGCATTTCCGTATTCCACGCAGTCACAGGTGCTTCACATGCTCCACTACCCACACGCGAACACGTATGAACGACGTATCGACAATGACCGGTTCGTTTCTCGTGGTTGATGGTAACAACCCAGGTTGGGGAGTCGAACGAGAACAACCCAGCACTGTACATCATGTCGCTGTTCTTCAAGGGATACTGGTCTCCCAAGACGGTGAGTTCATTTTCACCTTCGCTTTGGAGTGCGAGATACCGCCCTCGATACAAAGACGGGTCTTCCATAGTGGCGTCTGGAAGCGCACCTGCTGTGCGGGTAAAAGGACTCGTCGACAGGAAGTATATCCGGGCCCCCTCTAGGCTGTAGGGCGGCTGGCCGGAATCGGGCGGGTGTACTCCCTGGTCACATTTATGGTCAGATAGCGCCCGCAGGTGTAGAGCTTGACCTTCTTGATCTTCATGCTAATGTGATACTTCTATACTTCACAGCGTCTGTAATGCTTTTGTTCGGGCGGCGGGTGTGCCCGTCCTCGGCGGGTGATTCGGCCTGGCGCACATAATACCATAATCTGCCCTCTATGGACGGACCCCGAACGTAGCCAGTAGATCCAACCGTTAAGTGTTGATATCTTGCGTCAGGGTAGACAAGTGCTCATGATAGCAACGTGGCAATCGTTCACGTCCTTTTGGCAATGCCATGGAACTCCATGCACTGTCCATGGATTTCCATGGACCCCCTATGGCATACCATTGAGCCCCACGGAATGCCATGAACTGGGCCGTGCACATCCATGGAACTCCATGGGCACCCTACGGACCTCCATGAAATATTCCCTTCCCCACGCCCCTTTCCACGCGGCCAGAGGCCCAATCGCCCTCCTTACAACGCGGCTGATTTAAGTTACCCTTCCCCACGCCCTTTGTGAAGCAGCTAGGGGCAAAATAATGTTGCCTTCCCGCACGCCCCTTACGACAAGGCTAGGGGCGGAGTTGTGCCCTCACCTTCACCCCGTTTGACCCGACTTGGGGCTGAATTTTTCTTTTCCCCATGCCCCTTACGACGCCGCTAGGGCAGAGTAGTGCCGTATTCCACGCCCCTTACGACACGGCTAGCGGTAGAAGACCGTGTAGCGCTCCCCCAGGCATGTTGCGACGCGGCTAGGAGCTGGGTGGCTCTCCCCCATACCCCTGTCGACGCGATCAGGGGCGCAGTAGTGCCCCACCCCTCACAATGTTCAACCGGCTAAGGGGCTTAACGTTGCCCTTCCTCATAACCAGTCGGACGCGGCTAGGGGCTGAACGTTGTCCTCCCTTCCGCCCCTTTCGAAGCGGTTAAGGCTTCAATATTGGTGCCCTACCCCACGCACGCCCGATACGATCGCGGCTAGGGGAATTTTGCTGATGCCCGCCCCCACGCCCCGTGCGTTGCAGCTAGGGGCACACGACCTTTCGGCCCTTCTTTTTGACGCCACCCTGCCCCTTTGCTGCATTGGTGACCATCCCCACCACATTAGATTGCATGTAGATGGAGTGCGCGCTGTGACCCGTGCTGCTTCAAGCGTCCCTGCCCCCGCCGTTATTCAGAGGGGGCTGAGTGAAACCAAATCTGCCCGTCCGTAGCTACCACTACACCGCATCATTCCATCATCGGCACCTCCCAGCCCTGGGTACTACAGTCGCATGTGATACAGCTGGGTTTGCGTGCAGTGTATGTAAGTCCATATCCTGTCCCCGAATCGGCCTATGCGCACACGAACAGTTGTCCGGCAACATCACGTGAGACCTCCGCCCCTACATGTTCTTTGCCAATAGTCTTTGAGTCGCGCAAGCGAAATTTCAACTCACCTCCTGCCGCCTTCAAATGACCGAATATCGCACCAATTCAGTCCAACCCTACCCTACCGCTAACACACTACCCACGCCGATTGCCGTGTAACCGCTGCTGCTGCTGTTACTGCAGGAGGAGTATGTCGTATCTGAAACCGACGACCTTTCGGCCCTTCTGGTGGACTCGACCGACACCTCGGGGGTGCCCCACGGAAAGTGCAACGCCGTGTACATCGGCTACGCGCCGTCGACGGCTCAGGTTGCCGCTCTCACGGCCTACTCGGCACAGTACAAGGTACTTCTCCTAGCCTTGAGCATGGTCTGACGACGAATGTATGTGTAGCTCGATTTGGTTATTTCCGGAAGATGCCATCGATCGAAGCATGTACCACTGTTGTATTTTCTGACTGAATAACTCTTTCGGCTACGGCAGCTACGTTGTAATTGAAGAATATCGTGGACTGGCGTCGTGCACGCTGTGAAGTATCCGGTCGCCAGTCGAAACGGGAAAGCCACCAATAGCAACATCAAGGGAAAATCACGTGTACCTATTTTGGCTGCCACTTGGTTTGTGCGGGCACACGAGGTGTCTTTCCGTGTTCCGCGTGTACAGTAGTTCGCTTTGATACATGCATCGAAGTTCGAAGATTATCTTGACCTCAGAGACCATATATCTTCAGTCGTGACCGTTGCGTGGGATTTTTTACTAATGTTGCTGTGTCAATCGTCTTCTTGTTTTCTTGTGCAGGTCCGTCTCGTCTACTTCCCGTCCGCTCTCACCCACACCACCGAGAGCTTTACGACCAAGCTCGGGATCCAGACGTACTTTGCCGGGGACATCGTGACTCCTGCGTTCGTGCAGCTCAGCGGTGAGGTTCACCTCTCGCCCACTCCTCAGGTTCCTAAGCACAGCAACGAGAACAAATTGTACATACATGCGGGGCGACTCAGCACAGCAGTGGCCAATCATGGAGGCATTGTTTCCATTTTCATCCTTCTTCAACGCTGGGCGGGGCAGTCTCTCCCCGCCACACCTCTCACTTGTGGGTCAGTTTCACCCAAACTCCTCCTGCCGACCGGCTCGGTTAATATGTTTCGTCGGCGTGTTATTGCCAGTTTCCCGTCATCCAACCTTTGTCCTCCTTGCATCATGGTCCTCTCTCTCCCCCACCCCCCGGTAAACCCCTCCCCTCGATCTCTCATTGTCCCTTGGACTATACTGCTTGTCGAAATAATGATATAAAGTGGAGCCTAACCTGTCGTCTTTCTTGCTACCCCTCGTTCGATGCTTGCTCTCGACCCCCCCACCCAGACCTGGGCGCGGAAAAGGTGACCATCACACAGCCCGGCTTTAAGACCGACCCGAACGTCGTCACCCCGGCCCTGTTCAGCTACCCGGTGATCGTCAATACGGTTCCCGAGGAGGGGATCGAGGTCCTCGCGCAGTGAGTTCTCTTCTTTTCTGTGATGGCGACAGCGACAGCGACGGTGGCGTTGTTTTCTCAATATTCGCTACGTTTTGTGAGTACACAAGGAAACATCATTGGCACGCCGTGTTTGGTTTTCCTCGACCACACTCTCCTGCCGCTTTTACAGGTACGTCGATAGTGACAGCGAGCCTTACCTATCCGGTGCTGCGGGTGACCAGGAAAACGCTGCGATGCTCAGCTACACCGGTGCTGACGGCCACGAGGAGCTGCACGTCTTCAACACCATCGGCTGGTTTGACGCCGGCGCGTGGCCGTGGGCGCACTTCTACAACGAGTGGGCCACCAAGGGCATCTTCATGGTACGTGACTTGTCGCTGGTGGTGCTCTGCTTCTGACGTCGTTGCCGTTCACGGTGTACGACGCCGTTGTGGCCTGTCTGGAGCAGTACGCACATGTCTACTGTACACTATGCACAAGCTCGTGAAAGATGAGCGAAATTGGTTTAACTCGATATGTCTGCTCCAGGTGGATGTCCAGCGTTGGTCGATGATGGTATGCATAGATGATGTTGCCCACTCGGATCAGCAAGACCGCCACTACCCAATTCTCGCCCTGGGGCACGCTGTCGTCCAGTTCATGTTTTGCGACTCAATGTTGGTATCATCCAGCCTTGTGCGGAGCACGATAGTACACCTCATGAGAGAAGCGTGGTTCGTTCACAGCAGTCAAGTGGTTGTGGCAAACCACGATATGTTTCCCTAAGGCCCCTAACTTTGCTTCTGTGAAATCCCCCCCCGCTCACTAGGGGGAGCGCCGTTTCTACCTGGCAGCGGTTGTCGACGACCTCTTCCTCTCCACCCCGGAGTTTGAGTACGACGGGGTCTTGAACGAGGCCGCGCTCTCCCAGCGGTGCACGGGGGAGGACCTGACGAACCTGCTCAGCGTGCAGCAATCACTTAACGCCCTGTACGCGGGATCGGACATCATCACCGAGTTCGCCTTCAACGGCGGCGGGATTGCGGAGCATGTGCGTTTGATAGGGTGGAGGTCTCGATGTCTTGGGTATCATGTCGCTTGACGCTTGTGTCGTCAATTGTGCGTGTTTGCCAAATGCAGAACGACAGTTACATAGGTGTCAAGGTACATTTTACGAGTAGATGCTGTTTTTCACTTTTTTTCTTCGCACGAGTATCGCAAAGAGTGAAGCGTGACCACACAAAGGAGGAACGTAGGTGACGGTTCTACTGTACCTAGGCCTGTGCACGCAGATGGTTCTATTTTTTACGTTCGGTTGCCTCCGACCGGCCCTCTTTTCATGGAACGCCCACGTTTCAACAACTACTGCTCCGTCATGAACCTTGGGTGTCGACCGAAGCTTAACGTGACACAGCCACAAGCATGTCTATTGGCACCGTGTTTATAGTCCCACCATGGGGGGGTGTGGCCGCTGCGCTTCCCTGTAGTCGAGCTGGACCCGCGATGGCTGACACCGTTCATGCGTTTGTGATTCAATAGCTGTGAGAGAAGAGTGCTTCACAAGCCAAGAAATATGGTGGATATTCATGTCGAAGTCGGGAGTGTGTCTGATCTAGAGATAAACACATGCTGCTTTTTCAGGGTGGAGGGTATTGTTGCTCAATCTAACATGTTCTTGGCGTTATGCGTATGACACCAACTACCAGGTGTCACAAGCGGTCGAGAACATCACGTACGTGCCCGACTACGAGGAGACCATGGTGACCACGAAGGGCACCCAGTGGTACGAAGACGGTGAGTTGATAGTGGTTGTCGTGTTTCTTGAGTGTCGCTCTCTGGCCCCATCAAAGATCTCAACAGGTACACCATATGGACTGATTGACCTGTTCTTCTCAGGACCACCGGCGCAACAACAAAGTACCACGAATCAAGAAGGAAACCGTGTTTTCACGATAACGGCGGCGATATCTGAGTAAACCATTCTCATTGCTTAGCTATGACAGCGTGTGATTCGCCCGGCCGGAAAACAAGGCCCAACGGCGCACGGTTTTATCTCTCTCACTCTATGTTGCTCTTGCTTTCTCCCTCTCCCACTCTATCTACCGAACTATCAGAATCGGCGAAAAAGCATATGAAGATACACCGGAAAGATTCCCGATTTCTTAATGGCATGATAGCACGTCGACACTTCGTACGTAACCAAAGTTTTCCGGCGGGAATACCGACTCCGCCATTGACAACACACAGCCGCATACCTGAGAATGCAGAACTCCCCTCCCCCCCCCGAAATGCCCCATCGACTCACTCTCTCCCGTGGTTTCAGGTCAGATCAACGTGCACGACACCAACTGGCTCGCCACCAACGTCCCTCTCATGCAGCAAGACATGGCCGACGGCACCTGGGAGGCCAACGACGAGCTTCTCGTGGCGGTGATCAGCTACCTGGACACGTCTTCCACGTTCTACCACGGCCATCACACCCTCATCCACCTGTCCCGCGACCAGCTGCGCGAGACGGACTGCGTCACCGAGGACTCTGGTGCGAATTAAATACTGCAAGAGCCGCTATTGTAGATCTTGGTCACTGCACTCGTTGCCTGCAGCAGAGCAGCCGAATGCGTTGCAAGCGCTAGCGCTGGAAGGGAAGCAATCGGGTGTTTGGGGAAGAGTTTCTTATTTCCTACGTACCTCCGGTGGCAGGCAAATCGCTCTCATCACCGGTATAGGGAAAAGCGAGAATATCCAATAAATAAATCAAGTATCATTTCCTCCTTCCCGTCGAAAACCTATTTTTCAGGTAACGTGCAGATCGCTCTCATGACCGGCATGTGGGACAGCGACAACTACAACTGGCGCTCCATGGTATCCCCCGGCATCACGGGTCTCTTCAACGAGAACTGCCTCGACTCGGCGGCGCAGAACCTGATGGTGTGCTACCCTGGCGACAACACCTTCGATGGAACCGTGTCCGGTGCTACCATTCTAGTCAACGAAGACAACCAGTTCCACTCGATCTACTCGACGGTTGCCGACAACGGTGAGGGAGGGTAACGTCTACACCTGGTACCTTTTTTTTCTGAGAACGTGAGGTGACACGATCAAATGCACATGTGTGGGCTTTCGGGGGAGTGACGTGGTCTTGTGGTGGTTCACATGCCGGAATGCCGTACTAGCAAACTTGCTGTTGGCGCCTTCACCGTCAGCGCCTCTTTGTCCTCTAGCCAGGGCCTTTATATTGGTAGAGTTAACAACGAATGCACATGAAGCTTGAGCCGCTGTTTTCGGTGTCGAGAGGCCTTGTCCATGCCACGTGTGCGGTGTGGGCTTCTATACCGATCCAGTTTTCGCTTGTTTTTGTCGAGGCAGTTGTTGGATACCCGGCGCCAAGGGGGATGTTTCCATCAACTTCCACCGTTCACACCACGCTAGGGGGTTCGTTCTTGGTCGAGAGACCCCAAGTGCAGGAATGCGAGGTCATTGGCCCGGTAGTGTACATGAGACTGGTATGTCACGTCTTGCAGGTCATGGTGCCTGGAAGTGGCCACCACCTCTATCTTCATGCTCTCGAACTCTCCGCAGTCACCCCCTCCCGTATGTACCTCTTTGGTGTACTTGAACGCACAGCCGCCTGCTTATTTGCGCCAATGCCGCCTGCATTTTCGTCCAAACCATACTGTCTGCTACAGGCTATGATGGTATCCAAATCGTGCCCAGATTCGCGACCTACGTGTACTTCAACTGCGTCACCGGCTCCGTAAGTCACTCAATGATGTCCAACAATATCCAGGATCTCCTAACTGCGTTCGCGCAGTACATTAGGTCCTGTACTGCTGCAGCTTGCATATTTTACTCGCCAATGTACCGGGAAGGTTGATTTTGTGCTTTCTCGTGTCGTGTGCGTCCGTGGTGAGCAGCCGGTCGCCCCAGATTGCGCGAGCTTGAACACGATCGTACACTTCTCGGCGGAGGTGCCGTTTCACCCTGACCCACTTGTCCGACGTCCTGGTTTTGTGAACTGTAGATACCACCGTGCGGTGGAAACGAAATTTTTCATTTCCGTGTTTGGCATCACGGGTGACCGCAGACCATGCTGTGGGTAGGCTGGGCACCGGTTACAACCTAGGGTGGGGAGGTTGCACGCCCAAGTGTGCAGTTGACCCAGCATCTCGGATACGTGATGTTGATCAAACGACCATCCCGTTCTTCCAACCTCCTCACCCCGACCTTCAAAGGTTGTGATCGGGCTCAACTTCTCCCCCTGGCCACCTGTGGTGTGATTAATGACTATTGCTCGTTGAGGTTTCTTCGCTTTGCCGCCTGGTTGATACGCCGCCGCCAACACCAGAGAGCGTCGGCCCGAATCCACGCTGAAAATTTCCTGTGGTGGCTCAAAATCTGTTCGATGACCACGAAACATACCGAGGGTCTTGTTTTTCTTACGTCCGTCTCTCGGTTGCAATTACTATGCTCTGTGATCGTTTACCGCGTCTATTGGTGTGCCCCTGTTGCTTCACTTTTCCGGGGCTCTTGCAGTGCCTCGTGAACGAGAACGAGTACATCAGGCGCTTCGTCTGCGGGTGCACCCCGCTCGACCCAAGCATCGCCGACTACGTGAGTCTTGTCAATGCTGCCGGAGAGGGACGGCAGTGTCGGTACAAAAAAAACGAAGCAATATCCCAATCTTATCTTATGCACTGTCGACACTTCGACATACCTTCACGGTGTAAACCGTGCAGGCAGTCATCATCATTCGGAGCTGTACAGACGTTCGCTATTTCGTCTTCCCCTAACGAGTGATCTCGCTCTCCCCTCCACATCCTTCCATCCTCAATGCCAAAGACTTGCACGAGCACGGCAGACGAATGCGTCGACGACGACGGCGCCCCGGACATCCAGTCCTTCGGTGACATCGAGGCCCTCTTCGACGCCGAGGCCTCCACCACCACGCGCTACATGCTGACTGGCCGCAGGTCGGCGGCTGTTACCCCTTTTTTATCGTTTCACAGAAATTCATTGCTGGTCTGTTTCCGCTCTTCGGTTCTCTACTATTGCTTGCTTCAGGTCTCGCAGGTGTGTTCCGTTTTCGTGTGTGCTTGCATTCTCCGCGCCTGAAAGCAGGCGAGACAGTTGTGTTACAGTAGCTCTTCCTCTCGGCGGTGGGTTAACCGATACCTGTTTGTCTGTGCAATTCCTGTTGTATTTTGCTCTTGGCCTAGGATCATTCAATGTAAGTATTGGATTTTGGGATGAGACCTCCAGCTCTGAGGCCGGTAGCCACATGGATGCACTATCGCGCCGACCACATGAATCTGTAAATGATTCAGAAGCATCAAGCTTTAAGAGTAGGGAGGGTGGGCGGTCTCAAATTTCTTCCTCTCCTACCCGGTGTTCTCTCGTATTCACGGTAGGGAGAAAGGCAATGGTCAGCTGTACGCATTTCTCAACATACTATCAGGACAGACGTCTCCATTCATTTTCGTGCCGAATTTGAATTCGGTTGTAGCCCAGATTTTACTGCTGGTGTTGATTGGCGTCTTGTACTAAGCTTGCGCCTCGTCGACGGGAGGCCTACGATCTCTCGCTTCAAGCCTTCTACAACTGGATGCTCCGTTTTCCGATCGGACCTCATCTACTCCTCTGCCCCCGTATGTCGACCTCAACGCCTCCACATGGAACGAACGCCCCCTACGAACGCCCCCTTGTCGCACTTGGATCGCAACAGGGACAAGTACATGTTCCACCAAGCCAACATCATCCCGGCAGGGGACGTCGGCGACGGAACCCAGTCCCTGCTCGACTACTGGTACGAGCGAGTCTTGGAGGTGTTCTCCAGCTACGTCACCTTCCCGGTCAAGGTGAGTCAAGGCTTGCAGTACTCAAACGCAGGCGATAGCATGTCAGCAGTCCCGTAAAGGCTATTTGGAAAGGGCGGTTCCGTTTTTCTCGAAAAGCATCGAAGAAGATGTGTCGGATCGCGGGGTCCCTTGCTATCACTATAAACTTTCGAAACGCAACCTGCACTTCTCAAACATAACAGAAGAAGAATGCGTCACGAAACGTATTTGGTGTTGCTCTGTGTGTTGGCATCACTTTTATCAACAAGAGCGGCCACGGACTCTCCTCCCGTCCCATCCTGCCCCTCCAACAGCGACAACTACTTTCCCCCTTTGCTCTAGAAGGTTTTTCCAAACCGTACTATATGCTTACGGCTTAAGTCTCTTACCCGCCCCCCTCTACACGAAATACAGAACCGGTACGACGTTCCGTGAGGGTGAGGGATACATTGCGGCATGCCCAGCTTCTCCTGTTCAACAAACCAGTTTTTGGTTGTCAAGTCCGAGGTCATGTCATGATGAGTGATGAATTCAGAACCTTGCCCACGTGTGGTTTACTCTTCCCTGCAACTGCCAAACTGACCTGAACAGAGCATCAAGTTCGACGACCTGTGCACCGAGTTCACTCTCCACGAAGCTCTGGACGACTCGAGCCCGTACGTCACCATGGCCCTAGACGCGACCGGGGCTGTTACCGGCTTGTCCTACGTCTCGGGCAGCGGGGCCGGCCTCGTGCCCCTTACCGTCCCGACCGCTTCCGCCGCCTCGGTGAGTTCCGAGACTCACTGTTAATCGGCTTCATGGTCGCAAAGGGGTTTGCGGTTTTGTGCTTGCGGATGTTTTTTTTTTTTTCGTCTTCACGTCAAATCAGCGCTCACAGCACCAGTGCCGTTTACTCCAACCCGTGGTCACACAGAAGGGCCCCTCTCTACCCTCCCCTCCTGCGGTACGTTAGTTTCGATATTTAATGCGAGAAGAGTTCAGCACTCTCTTCCCTCTGTGTACACACGAACTAGCGCTATCCACTAGGTCGGGAGCGGAAACGAGAGAAAAACTCACTTTGCAAGGCAAGCTCGCTTACGCCGGGATTCGAACCACCTCTAAAAGGTTTCGAGGATACCAACTAGACCACCGGGGCTACCGTGGATGATAGGTTTAGGTTTATCCGGTGGTGACCCTGCTCTCAGGAAACTTGTTCACAAAGGATATCGAGACTCATATGTGTGTTCACAACGAACACTTGGAAGAAAGGATTACAAACGTGGGTTCCGCGCCGGCACCATACCAAATGCTACCCATCGCATGGTAGCCCATTGCATCGTAGCTTGGCAAAGGCCTTGACGTAACCATTGAGTCTGTAGGAATTGAAGCATTTCTCAATATGAGTGTTTCACGAGTGGGCCAGCAGGTAGCATCTTTCTTCTGGCTGTGTTCCTGCCACGTGCTGCACCAAGCGCATGGAAAAGCACGCACTTTGGTGGCATCATACTACCAAACCCTTTTCGCTCTCGGAAAGTTGCTTGGTATGTATCTGTCTGCAACAATCACGTTTGATTCGTTTTTGTTGACCCACACGACCGGCAAAACAGATCCCGACGACTGACCTTTCCATCCAAGACACGGAGACTTACGGCACCGACACCACCTACTACCTCAAGGACGATGACGCCTCCACTGTCTCAAGGGTGGGCACCAAGCCTGATGCCAGGTGAGAAAGGAAGTGCGGCCGCAGAACACGCCATGGATTGTGGTACCGCAATCTAATCAAGCCTGGGCACGTAGAAGTTCGTCGTGGGGGAATACGTCATGCAGATCGAATTTTTACCTGTGAAACCGTTAGATTTGTTCCTTGCCAAGAGTTGCTTCTTTGCAACAACGGTAACGTCGGGAAGGTTGTGAGAAGGAGAGGTTCTACGGCACGGACCACGTTCGGATTCCGCCCACCGCCTCTGACTGTTGCAGAATTTTATGGATCTGTTCCTCCGACCCAGCCGCCTGTTGTCCAACTCTGTCTCTACCACTGGTGTCGTCGTTCTCGTTCTTTTTGTCCTCCTGAGAGAGAACGCGACACGCAGAGGGACGGGTCACAGGGCGTGCCCGATGGCCCGGGTACCTGGCTGACCTACCATCTCGGCACCGACAACCCCCTTACCTTGAATGCTTCCTCCTTATTGTTGGGAACGCCTCAGCCACGCCTCTTCCCCGCCCAATACTTTCCTACCTTGTTCTTCCTTCACGCTTTGTTTGCAGCGATCTTGCCGAAGTCCCGTTGATCGTTGTCGAGACCGACGCCAGCGCCACGCTGAGCCCGGCGGAGATCGTGGAGAACGCCGAGGAATTGGCGGAGAACCAGGAGACGAACGCCCTCGTGGCCGCGGAGAACGGCGGTCTCTTGGCCGACCAGGGCCTGGTCGACGCGGACGTCGCCGCAGGCGTAGCGATCGACGCAGCGGAGGAAGAAGGTCTCCTCTAATTGTGTTTCGGAAGGCCGATGAGGTGCCGCCACCACCTTTGCGTTCTGTTTCTGGAGCGTACGGGAGGAATGCCGCGCTCTCCCAGGTTTTGGTGCTCTGGTTTTTGGTCCGGTGTGCGTTTTCCAATTGCATTTTATCATCTTGAGTAAAGTCTTCGTGAGTAGAAGTCTGCGCTATGCCAACTGAAGAGGACAAGTACGTGCACGTCTCCCGCTGTGCAAGCAAGAGCGTTTGCCTCCTCCGCATGCACTCGTAGACGAGAACACGTGCACCTCTGGTGTGGGTCTCCCTTTGAGCGTGATGGAACCACTAGATTTTGTCAAAGACAACTAAAGGCTGCGAAAGAATATGCGTATGTTGTTGGAATTTTGTGCAAAGGGAACACCAGGCTCTATCTACTACTCGGTTTCCAGAGGGGGAAAGAAACTCCGTCTTGGTGGCGTAATCTCCGCTAGATGTGTGTTACGCCAATCGTCGGACGTTTTTTTCCGAAGCACACCAAATAGGATTGGGAGGGGCGGTTGTAAAGTAGTGTTTTGTCCTTTTCCGGCACGCGATACCGTTCGTGAAGAGCATGCATTCTCGAGGCGAGGTATGCCTGTGGTTGAATACATCCAACAAGAAAACCGGTTTGGCTTGGAGACGGAATCTATCGTACGCTGGCCTTCTGTGTGTGTGTTTAGTTTCAATTGTCACGCTTCGGAGGGATCTTTGAGCTGGATTTTTTCGTTTCGACGGTGGTGCGTAGCTGCAGTGCACGTGATAGCATGTATTGGTGACCGTGTTGTTTGATTCGGCGTCGCGAACGCGCATGGATGTGTGGGTGTGTGCTTGTTGAGAGCGATTAGCGTTCAATAGTGATGTATACATAGGTAAAGGTAGTTTGTATGTTGTGTCTTTGGGTACGCCATGTGTTAGTTGTTTCCGTCTCGTTTCGTGTCTCGGTCTGCCTTCCGCATGACCATCTCGAGCGTCCCTGTAGTAGTGCCTGTTTCAAATTGAAGAACAAGTTCCGTCCGTGAGGACGTAGATGTCGAGCGGGCTCAGCTCAGGAACACTTGCACTAAATACTCTTGAGGGATTGTCGAGAGGTGGCTGCCAACGATAGTTTAGCACCGGGTTAATCGCCGCCGCCGATTCTTTTGCACGCTGACCCAGAGAGATTTTTTTTTTGCAGAGGTCATCAACCCTCCGCGACGCGGTATCGGTAGTTAGGTAGTTAGGGGAAGGGTTAGGTTCGTCTTTCGGTTTTGTGCAGTTTTGGAAGTGAAGGTATTCTTGTGCTGGGGAGGGTCCATGAGTGTTGGGACTATTCGTGGTCGTTATGTGACATTATGTAGGTACAGTGATGGTCAATATTTCTTTTCTGGATGCCCGTGTGTGCATGATTATCTACGAGTCGCCCCGTGTGGTGCGCTTGAGTACCTCGGAATATTCCGTCGATAGCGTATGTCTTGAGTTGATTGTCGGCCACATCAGACGTGCTTGTTCTCCCCTGGCTCAACATAGCATCTAACGCCCAACCGCGGTCGTCTCGTTGGCTATTGTGTGTAAGCCTTGTCTAACACCTGACTCAGGCTTGCGGATTAGAAGCTCTTTGAAGCGATAAAATCGCAAGTAGCATGTGGATAGCGCTATTTTGTCCTCCCAAGTACACACAGCAAAGGCAGCTGGAATGGGTTGCAGAGGGAGTGATACATCATTCATTGGAGATGCCTAAAGGAGTAAAAGATCTGTTTTAGAACAGTAGGCCAGAGGCCGAAAACAATGCAAAATAAGGCAACCTACATAGGCACAGGAAGCAGATGAAAGGTTGGGAGTTGGGAGATAGGAGCAAGAAGGCGCTTTACCTGTGGGCTCAGGTCTGCAAGTTTGTTGTTGTTTTCGGCCTGCAAGAGCAAAACAGATTCTTGATTGTTGTTGTTGTCTTCACATAAACCACCGTCCGGTCTCCACTCAGTACCTTCTAATGTTCGTTCTGGTCCAACTGACACGGACGCCTTCCGTGGTCACAAGCCAACTGCCCCCAAACGGGGTACACCTTCTAAAAAAAATGGCCTATATAATATGGACCCCAGAGCCCTCCAAGGCGCGCTTTGTTTTCTACCCAAACGAAAAAGACAACTAAGGAAAACTAACCTGGATACAGACGATCGACCCCGGTCAAAAGGGATGAAAGAACGAAAGAAAGACAAAGGAAACAAAAAGGAAGGTAGACAAGTCCCCTCCAACGCCCCAGTCTACCGGAACAACAAAGAAATAGGCAAGGTCTTCTGTCTGGTGTTTTCTTGTTCCGTTCCTCCGTGCGTAGGGTGCTTAGCTTCTCTTGTTCCTTGTGCCATTTGCCCATGAACTTCTCCGCTCCCTCCGTTACACCTTTGTGCCACGGCACCCCTTTCTCAACCTTCGCTGTGATAGGCCAGCAGCCACGCGGTATCTCGAACGTCCTCATGGGTCATCATCGGTGGGTTCGGCATTGGCACCGAACTCTACGAAGTCGTCCTTCAGGCAAAACACCCAATTATTTTCCGGGCGCCCGCTGTTCGGGTCCTTCTCTCCCACGATGTCTCCGAACATCAATCGCTCTAGGAGTCGCCCGTCCGGTTGCCTGGCCAATTTTCCAGCAAACAGTAGTCCCGTTGTCGAACAGTAGCCTCCACGCTTCGGCATCCAACCCTTTTCAGGGCTTGGGTGTACGAGAGCTGTCGATATTAGCCGCGTGTGCGGCGGTAGCCGAGAACAACCCGTAGGAGAAGACAGTGGTGCGTAGTCGTCAGCAGGTCGAAGTGCTTGCGGCGCGGGGCCCCCGCCATGCATCCGTACCGCAGGGCCTCCTTCGCTTCCGCTATTACGAGCCGGATCTTTAGTCCCCACGGTGATGGCGGCCTGTCGAAGAGCTTCCGGGTGTACTTCCGGAGACAAGTCCACGCTGCTCTGCTCCGTTGGTTGATGTCCTGCGTGAGTTCAGCATCTTCTTTGACCCGGTTACCCAGATATCGGCGTACTTCTGTCCCGCTGCTTCGATCACCAGCGGTGCCGTAGGTGGTGACGGTGGCGGTGGCGGCGCCCCATTCTTCGGTTTCTTCTCCGGCACCTTCATCACTGTGTTCCGGAGTCGTTCCAGTGGTGTCGTTGCCCTCGTCCCAGCCTCCTCCTCAAGGTAGATATACCAGGTCCCGGAGGACAACGTCGTCTTCGTTGAAACGCACCAGAAATACCTCGAGCGCTGCCGCGAAGAAGATGTTAAGTTAAGTGGAGACAGTACACATACATCCTTGCCGCAGTCCCAGGGTGACCTCGAACCATTCAGAGAGCTCTCCGTCGTCCGTGCGTATCCGAGGTTGCATGCCGTCGTGGAACTGGCGGATGGTCGCGATCATTTTCTCCGTGATCCCCGCTCGGGCCAGCACCCGCCACAGCAGCTCCCGGTCGACTGAGTCATAGGCCTTCTGGAGGTGGACGAAACACATGCATGTACAGCGGGATACTCCGTCTCCTTGCCAGCTCCTGCAGTCGTCGTACGACGAACAGCATGTCGACGGTGGACCGGCCAGGTCGGAAGCCGCACTGCCCTTCCGACAAGATGTCGCGTTCTCGCAGTAGTCACTGAGACAGATAGCAACGATTTTTAGGTACCTTGCCCGCATGCGGCAACAGGGATGTCCCCCTGTAGTTGTTACAGTTGGATCCGTCCGACTTGTTCCAGCTGAGTACCTTGATGGTAGCGTCTTTCCGTTCCTGCGGGACCTCCCCCCGTTCCACACTTCGACGAGGATGGTGTGGAATCTTTTGATCACGATGGGGTCGTCTACGTCGTCGATGTTGTCCATGAGTAGTTGTCTACCGGCTGGGAATCATGACCAGGCGCTTTCCAGTTTTTCATCCCCGGTGCTGCTCTCCGGGTCTCCTCCAGGGTTGGTGCGGACCCCAGGTGTTGCGAGCCTTCAGCGGTTGGTACCTTCGGTTGTTGCTTTACCTCCTCGATGATGGATAAGATTTAGCGTTGAGTAGAGATCCGAAGAACCTCGCCCACCTTCTTTTGTGGAGAATCACACCCTTGTTCCTCAGCATGATGACACCATTCTCATCTTTGATGGGCTGCGGTCCCCCTGTCTGGTTCCCGCAAGTTCCCGTTGAGGCCTACCGAGCTCTTGAGGTATTTGTGCACTCCCCGCATGTCGCGATCCTCGAGGATGAATTCCATTCTAGCCACATCATACTTCTCCAGGTGGGCATAGATGCGGTCATCGGCTGTATGTACTACCTTTTGCCAGCGGCCCGGGGTGCTTTCCATGTTGCTGGATTTCGGTCGGTTTTCGTCTCCCGGCGTGGGGGAAAATAAGGAGCACGACGATCTATCGTTGGGTGAGAGACAAGCCAACGTGTGCTCGAGAGAAGAGGCTCAGGATTCCAAAATAGATCCCCGAGGTAAGGACGTGTATGCCTATATATATGGTCGCTTAGCATACGTACGCATACAACTTACGAAACG